TGATGGGGAGTCCTCAGCATCTCCCTGAATGTGTGAGATTGTCTGAAATGCCCAGAACAACCCTGAAGGTCATGAAGATAAGGCTTTGGATGGCCTGGGAGGATCATTACAACAGGAACGAGGAGGTTAGATGCGAGAGGATGCTTAGGACTCAAGGTCCTGTAACCCACCCAACAGGAGAAACCAGGCTGGTGGCTGACTCAGGGAAATACTAAGAGCCATATTTTGACTTTTGGGGGTGGTAAAAAGCAGAAGTGAAGATGAGAAGGGTGTGGTGGGTCACAGGCCGTCTCCCCCATTGTGACAACTGGGAGGAAAGAGATGAGATGAAATCCTCGTTAAAGAGATGGAGGCTGGAGGGGGACGCGGCAGCCAGAGGAACTGGTTTCCCAGCAGGCAAGCCCATGGGGGACGGCCAGGCGGCTGCCTACTTCCCTGAGGCACTTGCTGATTTGGGCATCCCTGAGCCTCAGGCATGCCCTGGGGAGCTACTGCTGGGGGAAAGAAAAGCCAAAGGTTTCCTGTGCTTGCAGGGGCAGCAAGATTCTGGCCTGGTTTTGAAGATGTGTGGGTGGGAGGCCAGCCTCAAAATATCTGAAGAGCAGAACTTGGAGGACAGAAAGCGAGACTGGCCAGGCGCTCAGCCCCAAATCCAAGAGGGCCACTCTCAGGGGACAGGGGCAGGCCACAGGAGGGCTCTCCCGCACTCAGCTCAAACTTGATTACCCTGAGGTAACTGGCGCCCCGGACTCTTGGGGGTGGGGGGCTAGCATTGTCTGAAGTCCTTACCCTTTTATTCCCAGTATGTGCCATACACCCAGGAGTTATAAAACATGCGAAAAGGAGAGAAAAATGACATCGATGCACAAGAGGAAAGATAAGCAATAGAAACAGACCCATGGATGATTCAGATACTGCAGTTGGTGGACAGGATTTGGAAATAACCGTGATTGGCTTGTTACATGGAGAACACAAACCCATGTCCGGTTTCCCCCCTGGGGGGGAGCGCCTGGCAGGTGGGGGTCTTGCTCCACCCCCATTCCCCAGCGGGGTCGTGCTGTTCCTGGGCGTTGTGACACGCAGTGCGTGTTTATATGTGTACAAAAACCACAGCAGAAATACTCACACGGAAACATTCCCTCTACTTCTACACTCACAGCTAAAATACTTGCTGTCCCTCCGTCCCCATGCCACTGAGCTGGCAGGCCCCAACAAATAGACTCTCTGGGCCTCCTGTCGTCCCCCACCCAGGGTCCGGCTGAGCCATGACTGCAACGGACAGCTCTTTGGGTGTGGTGCGGCGATTCCTGTGAGCACAGGGGCTGTGGGCCAGGCTTCCAAGGACTCCTCTGTGGCTTTGTACCCTATCGGGGTTCTCCAAACCTCCAATCAGATCATGGTGCCAACTTTGTAGCTGAGTCCTCAGCAGAGGGTCACTGCCTGGGGCGCCTGCGAGACGTGTCGTGCCCCGAGTTGCGACAGGTGGCAGCGCCGATGGGAGGTGGAATGTGCTCTTACAGGAGAAACTAAATAGGGCGTTGCCCCCAGCTCAGCTCCCAGGGCGGAGAGTGTGGGCCGCAGGTCCGTGGTGGCCTGGGGAGGCCTGGCGTTGGGGAGTTTATAAGGCCAGAAGGGAGAGGCGGCCCTCGGAGACCCTAGCCACACACCTGGCCCTTCTCATTCTTTCTTTCCCCTTCGGGCCTGCCCCAGGAAGTCAGGCTACCGAGGCCACCGAGGCAACCTTGGCAAAGGTGAGCTGGAGGGAGAGGAGATTCTGGTACTTCTCCTTCACCTAGTTGTGCTGGGGATGTCAGGCCCATGCTTGCTGTCAAGCAGAAACTGGTCCCGGCTCTGCAGGGTCGGTCCCCATGCCACTGCCTGGGCATGGTGCAGCCAGCCTGGGGGCGGGGCGTGGGGGTGTGCGTGGCCGGTGCCTCCTGCTGCACAAGGATCAGGGTGTGGGAATCAGGAAAAGTGGAGCAAACTCTTGATAACGGTGTTGTAAGGCCGAGTGCACAACTGGACATGGGGCTTTGGCTCCAGGTAACCTTAGGCCTCCAGCTGGGAGGCCTAGTTGTGGCCACTCTCAGCTGACTTTGCTACGCAATGGGAAAGGACTGGGTTCCAGCTCCCATCAGTGCAATGCACTGGGCTACCTGCTGGGTAGTTCATGCTCCTGAAAAGAACCGAAGGTTGGGGTGGCCAGAGGGGGTTGTAGGCCACAGCTCTGACACAGCACCCCGACAGTGAGGCTCCCTATAGGCTCTGCAGGCCAGGCTTGACCACAGTCTGACCCAGGACATTCTCGAACTCCTCTTGCCACAGAGGGCCCGGAATCCCCCAGGAACAAAGGGAGGTCAGCAACTGGTGAGAAACCACCCTATTTGCAGGAGACTGCCCAGCATTTCTCTCCCCTCTTCCTAGTTCTGGTTGGGTGCAGGCCTCTCCCCCTTGCCCGCCCCCTCCAGAGTGCAGCTGCAGGCCACAAAGTGACCTGCTGGCAGTTTAAAGCAGCTTCTCAGCTCCAGAGACCCGCCGCTGTGCCCATCCTCCGACCTCCGGCTCGGGGTCATCCTGCTTTTGCTGCCAGGGTGAGGATCCGGATCATACGGGCTCTTCGCTGGTGCAGGCTGGGAGGTATGGTGGCCCCGTCGGCAGCTGCTGCAGATGCTGTGCCTGGGGGCTGTGCCTGGGGAGCTTCCTGGGGTGATGGGAAGGGTCTGTTTTGATCTAGTTGCGGGTTATACTTATGAATACACTTATCCAAACTCCTCATCCAGACGAACACTTAAGACATGCCATAAGTCGAAAGTTACCCCTCCCTCTATGAAAACAAAACAGGAGAATTGCCAGAGAACAATCAGGGACTCTTGAAAAGTAAGATCATGATTACCAAAGTGAAAGACTTGGCAAGTTTGGAAGAGAAGTTTCCCAGAACACAGGGCAAAACAGAGACCCAGGAGACGAAGGTCGGGGTCATAGTGACAGGTATGCCGGTCAATAAGTAAGGCTAAAAATGTTTTTGAAAGCAATCAATGCGATGGCACTTTAAATCTGGTTTATTAGTCAAAAACCTGTCTCAGCAGCATTCAACAGTTAGTGATTGACAGTGCAGACCCACAATCCTGCCGTGCAAGGGAAGGTCTGGTCCAGCTGAGTCCTGTGGGGGGGGGGGGCAGCCCCACCTGCTGTCTGCGGAAACCGTCTCCCTGCTTCCTGGGCTCTTCCCCGGCTGGTCCAGCAAACAAATTAACAGGAGATGGATTAGTAGAAGGAAAGACCACATTTAATTACCTACCCATGGAGAATCCACATGGGTGTAAATTCTAACGAAAGTAGGACAAAAAGGGGGTTTTGTCCTGAACTGAGGAATGAGATGGGGCCTGGGCTTCAAGGAGCGGGGAGGGGATCCCACCACAAGGACCAGGTGCTCTGTGACTACCTTGCTCCAGCAGAGATCCGTTTTTCTTTTTTTAAAAAAAGATTTATTTATTTATACAGGAATCGGGGTACAGGCCAGATGCGCGGGAGGTGAGAGGATTCACCGGAGACAGCCGGGAACAGAACAGGGAGATTGCCTGAAGTCCACTGCTGAGGGGAGCAGCGGGGAGACGGGGGTCCGCTGTGCCCTGCGGGTTGCTCCGGGCTGGCGGGAACGAACCCGCAGGCAGAGGCCGGGCACAGCTTCCCAGGGCAGCGCTCGAGCACCTGCACCACCAGGGAGGCCCAGAGACAGGTTTTTCTGATGGAACTGTTGTTTCTGGAGGTAATAAAATTGTAAACCTCCATTTCCACTCTGAGGTAGTTAAGCGCCTGCAGGGCCTGGCCTGACCTCAGCTCAAACAACCCACTCGCAAAGCGGCTCGTGTTGGGAAGGCCGCGCTGCGAGGCTGTCCGCAGCTCCGGGCGCGGGTTCGATCCCGGCCGGCGGCGGGGGCCCCACGCGGCGCGCAGACCCGCCCGCGCCCCCCGCAGTGCGCGTCAGCCCGCCTGCCCCGCGCCCCGCCTCCGGCCTGCACCCCGCTCCTGTGTGCCCGTGAACGAACCCCTCGGAAAGACGCGAAGGCGGACGGACCGCGCGGGGGTCCCCGCAGGACGCGAGCCCGTGGGCGCGGACAGCGGGGCCTGCCCGGCACAGCGCGGGCCGCGGGAGGGCGGAGCTCGGGCCGGGCCCCGCCGCGCCCACGGACGGCGCCGGGCCCAGCCGCGGCGGGGGTGCGGCCGGGAGGGCGTCCGCCGCGGGAAACCCACCGCGCGCCCACGCGGGCTCCGCGGCGCGGGGACGGGCCCCGGCTGCGCCTGCGCACTGCGGCCGGGCCGGGGCGGGGCGGGCTTCTGGGGGCGGAGCCCTGGCGGGGCGGGGCGTTTGCGGGCGGGGCTTCCGGGGCGGGGCTTTGTAGGGGCGGGGCCACGGCAGGGTCGCGGACGGGAGCAGGGCCTGGGCGGGGCCCCGGAGGAGGGCGCAGGGGGAGGGGAGAGGGGCGGGGCTTTGACAGCGGCGGGGCCCTGGAGGGGGCGCCGGAGGGAAGGGACGGGGCGGGGCTTGGGCAGGGGGCGGGGCCCCAGGGGGCCGCGGGGCGGGGACGGGGCGGGGCGGGGCCTGTCGGCGCGTGCCCGGGCGGCTGGCCCCGCCCCTCACGCAGTGTCGCGCGGGCGCGGCGACGGCGCGGGCGGCGCGCCGAGCGGGGGCGACGGGTGGGCGGCCGCGCTCCTCGGCCTGCGTCGCTGCCTCGCGCGGGCCGCCGCCGCCGGGGATGTGAGGGGCGGCCGCGGGGCCGGCGGGGCCCGGAGCGGCGGGGAGACCGGCGCGGACGGTAACGCGCCGGGCGGGCGCGGGGCCCGGCGGCGGCGGCTCGGGGGCGGGAGGGCGCGCCGCGCGGGGGCGGCCGCGTCCGGCCCGGGTCGCCGCGGTCTCGGGCCCGGGGTCGGTGGCGGAGGCCGCGGCCCAGGAGGCCGGGGAGGGGCAGGGCCGGCGGTCGGCCGGGAGACGCGCGGCAGGTGCCCACCTGCCCCCCGGGATCCAACTCTCTCTCCCTAGCGCCGCCCTTCCTGGCCTGGACCCAGCCTCGGGCTCAAAATACTGTGGGAGGCCCCGGAGAGCGATCTGATCGCCCGAAGTAGGGCGCGGCGCAGAGGTGACCGGCTCCCCGGCCCAGGCGACGCGGACTCCGCAGCCGCCGCCGCCCGGCCGCCTGGCAGGCAAGTGGGGGCCCGCGGGTGGTGGCGGCCTGCACCGCCCCTCTGGAGTTACCCACACCGGAGCAGGCCGCGCCAGGATCCCTCAGCCCCCCTCACAGGGCAGGGGTCCCCAGGTGCCCTGTAGGAGGAGGAGGTCACCACCGCGGGCCTGGAGCCGCAGGGACAAGAGCGGGGCTCGTTTTATGTCAGAAACATAAGCTGCTTTTCCAATTCATTCTTTTCTTCATGAGGGGAGCCCTGTCAGCCACTGTTTGTGGCCAGTGCCAGTCTGATCAAGAGGCCAGGGTGAAAGGCCTTTCTGTGAGCCTCTGGGCTTGGCCATACCCTTTACATGGAGCAGAGACCGGCCCATTCATCTGCGACTCGAGGCATACTGGCCAGGCGCTGCGTGTTTTTTGGGGGGGGCGGTGAGTCTAACGGGAAGCTGGTTGTCATCAGGAGGTGGCACAGGGCGTCTGGAGGCAGAGCAGGAACTTTGTGACCGGGCGTCACCTCCACCCCAGCTGCCGCTTGGACTGCCTGGGCCAGTCCTCAGGTGCCAGTTACCTGTGCTCCTTCGGTCTCAGCCAAGGGAGCGAGGCTGGGCAGGACCCAGTGCCCATGCTGGAATTCGCCGCTCTTCGAGGGGCAGCCCTCCAGAAGGCACGGGGGCGTTGGGTGGGAAGGCCAGGAGGGCTATCGGCTTTGGTGTCCCCACCAGGTGTGCGTGCCAGCCAGGATGAAGCTGAAGAAGCAGGTGACGGTGTGCGGTGCTGCCATCTTCTGCGTGGCTGTCTTCTCACTCTACCTCATGCTGGACCGAGTGCAGCATGACCCCAGCCGGCACCAGAATGGCGGGAACTTCCCCCGGGTGAGTCAGGCCTGTGGCTGGTTTCTTGGCTTCCGAGACAGCTGGGCCCCGCTGGCATGCCCTGTTAGTCCAGACAGAAGCGTGCCTTCCCAATGAAGAGGCTTTCCAGAAACCCAAAGCTATCATGGCAGAAATATAGAGAAGGCAGGAAAAACGGCCGTCGGCCCTGCCGCGCCCTCCCAGATCCTTGACCCACTGCTAGTGGAGGCAGCTTCCTCCCCACTGGGTCCTTTCACACTCCAGGTGGGCAACTGCCATCATGGGCGATGGCATCTCTGCCACCATAAGCTGGAGGGGGAGGGTCCGCCTGACCCTGTGGGATGGATGCCGGGTTGAGGTTGCTGCCTCTTCCCTGGTTTGAGCACAGCCGTCCAGCCCTGTGGGCTCCTGGGTCTGGCTCGGGCCAGGTTGCGCAGGCTTGCAGCAGGCTGCAGGTGGCGGGCCCCTCAGTGCGAGAAGAGCCAACGGTGATCACTTTCTGGTTTTTTGGCAGAGCCAAATTTCTGTGCTGCAGAACCGCATCGAGCAGCTGGAGCAGCTGCTGGAGGAGAACCATGAGATCATTAGCCACATCAAGGACTCTGTGCTGGAGCTGACCGCCAACGCCGAGGGCCCGCCCGCCCTCCTGCCCTACTATACAGCCAATGGCTCCTGGGTGGTGCCGCCGGAGCCCCGGCCTAGCTTCTTCTCCATCTCCCCACAAGACTGCCAGTTTGCTCTGGGGGCCCAAGGCCAGAAGCCAGAGCTGCAGGTACGAGCTGGCAGATGGGCACTGCTCCCCCACCGTGGCTAGAGTGCGCCCTGAGCGCCCGCTGCCCCCTGCAGATGTTCACCGTGATGGAGGAGTTGCCCTTTGACAACGTGGACGGCGGCGTGTGGAAGCAGGGCTTCGACATCTCCTATGGCCCCCACGACTGGGACGCTGAAGACCTGCAGGTGTTTGTGGTGCCACACTCACACAACGACCCAGGTGAGACCGTGCTGCCTGGGCTGGGAGCGCAAGGTGAGGGAGGCTGAGGAGGATCCTCAGGGCCTGCTTCCCCCAGGCTGGATCAAGACCTTCGACAAGTACTACACGGAGCAGACGCAGCACATCCTCAACAGCATGGTGGCCAAGCTGCAGGAGGACCCTCGGCGGCGCTTCCTTTGGGCGGAGGTCTCATTTTTTGCCAAGTGGTGGGACAACATCAACGTGCAGAAGAGAGCCGCCGTCCGGAGGCCAGTGCCCACGGGAGAGCGGGGCTGGCCGTGGGTCAGGTTGTGGGTGCAGGGTTCGCTGAGCTTGGGGTGCCACAGTATTGGGAGGGGCTGGGTGATCTTGGCTGAGAACGAGAGCTGCCCCAGAGCGGTGCAGGCTCACTGATGTTCGGGGGACTCAGAGCGCATAAGCGAAGCATGAGTGGGGCTTGCCTGGAGGCAGGGGCAAGCAGGCTGTGCCTGGAGGCTGGCTGGAAGGAGAGGAGGGCCCAGGTCTGCGCGCTGGGTCCCAGGCTGGGCTGCTGGCTCAGTGGCAACGGTGCACGGGCTGGCAAAAGGTCTTGCCCCGCTGAGTGCGAGTCCTTCCTCCAGGCTGGTGGGGAACGGGCAGCTGGAGATTGCCACGGGAGGCTGGGTGATGCCGGACGAAGCCAACTCCCATTACTTTGCGTTGATTGACCAGCTCATTGAGGGGCACCAGTGGCTGGAAAGGAACCTCGGTGAGTCCAGACCCCCGCAGCTGGGCCCAGTGGACAGCAGGGGGTGTCTGTGCAGGGATTGGTATGGGCTCCTCTCTGGGCTTAGCTCTGGGGAGCTGGTGTGCTGGCAGGTAGGAGGTGGGCCCCAAGATCCAGAGCTCAGAGCCTCTGGCTTCCCTGCCCCTCTCCAGGTGCCACCCCACGCTCTGGATGGGCTGTGGACCCTTTTGGCCACAGTTCCACCATGCCTTACCTGCTGCGCCGTGCCAACCTGACCAGCATGCTGATCCAGAGGGTGCATTATGCCATCAAGAAACACTTTGCTGCCACCCACAGCCTGGAGTTCATGTGGAGGCAGACGTGGGGTAAGGCCAGGGGCGGGGCCACAGCAGAGTGTTTCCCCGGGAAGGAGCGGGGATCTAGGAAGAAGACCCTGCATCAGGCCTTCCCAGTGGCGCAGCGGTTGAGCGCTGGGTTGCAAAGCTGCCCGCAGCCTCTGCAGCGCTGGTTTGATCCCCGGCCACTGGGCGAGGGTCCCACATGGCGCGCAGACCTCTCCTGCCGCCCGCCGCTCCCCTCAGCAGTGGACTTCGGTCCTTCTGCCTGCTCTGCTCCCCGCTCTGGCTCTGGTGAATCCTCTCACCCTCCCGCGCTTCTGACTGTACCCAGTGCTTGTATAAATAAATAAATAAATCTTTAAAAAAAAAAAAAAAGACCCTGCTTCCTCCAAGCAGATGACCTGCCCCTGTGCCCACTGCCAGACCCCGGAAGTCCTCTCCTTTAGGTTGTGTGTGTGTGTGGGGGTGGGGGACGGAGGAGGGTCACTGACCTCTGGCCTCTGCGGGGCCTGATGTCCATCCCACCAATCTGAGTACGTGGCACCAGGGTCCTGGGAGGGCTCTGGGCTCCAGGGCCACCCCCGCCTTGCTGGCCACTCTCTTACAGATGTGTGTGTCTCTTACAGATGCCGACTCCAGCACAGACATCTTCTGCCACATGATGCCCTTCTACAGCTACGATGTCCCCCACACCTGTGGCCCGGACCCCAAGATCTGCTGCCAGTTTGATTTCAAACGCTTGCCCGGTGGCCGTATCAACTGTCCCTGGAAGGTGCCGCCCCGGGCCATCACGGAGGCCAATGTCGCCGAGAGGTACTCACTGCCGGGCCGACCGCAAAAAGATCCAGAAACTGGGCCTCTGGGGGACCCAGCCTCTGCTGCCTGCGCTGCTGCCTGGGGCATTGCGGGGGGCAGGGCTCAGGTGGTGAGTGCAGGCCCCCCAAAGCCCCTGAGCTCCCCTAAAACTGGGCAGCCCCAGGTACCCCTTTCCCGGAATGGATCCCTTCCTGAACGCACGTGTTCCCCGGCCGCGGTCAGAGCTGCTGCCTGACGCGCGAACGGCTCTCAAGGCAGGCAGGGTCCTGCGGCCTCTGGCCTCCAGGCCTCGCTGGCCCAGGCAGCCACCCCGTGGACACAGAGCCCCCTGCAGGTGCCCCTTCAGTCTTGCCAGACAGCCCGCAGCCTTGCAAACTCGCTCGGGGGCCCAGGGGTGCCACCGTGCGGACACCAGCGTCCGCCCCAGGACATGCGGGTGAAGGGTGAGCTGAACAGTGGCTCAGCCAGATCCGGACTGGCCATGGTAACAGGCTGAACGGGTTTTTGTGTGATAATGCTGCGGTTTCCGTGAGGTCCAAGAGGTGGGCCGTGTGGCTGAAGGGCAAAGAAAGTGGTCCTTTGTTTCCAGAAATCGAGTGCTGGGTCCCAACAAGAATCCAGGGCTGTGAGGCGAGTTTCCTCCAAGCAGGGGCTGCAGGTGCCCTGTGAGAGGTTGCCAGGCTGTGACAGGAGGGGGAGTGGAGCATGTGGGGCCCTCCCAGAGGAGGAAATTGAGAGCAGGAGAGGGTGGAGGGTCAGGGATGGCCGGCGTAGGGCCGTGACCCCAGCCTGTGCCTGCACCAGCTGGCCTGAGCAGAGGCTGCAGAGCTGTGTTCTCCTGCTGGTGTCACCAGTAACTTGGACGGAAAGGAAACCCGCAGATTCCACCTGAAGGTCCTGCTGCGGCAGGCGCCCTCCCGAGTGTGTAACACTGACTCGTGTGTGTTCTCGTGGCGTTATGTAGAAACTGAGCCAAGGAGGTGAGCGGCCTCGCCCACAGCCTCAGCGAGCACCTCGCGCCCTGGCCTGCCTCGTCCCTCGGCTGCGCTGCTTGGCCAACTGGCAGGCAGACCGCAGTGCCAGAGTCAGGACCTCAAAAGTCTCAAGAGGTTGGGGTGTGGGGGGCGTCTCACCAGGCAAGGCTCACCAGGGTGAGGTGCCCCCCTTCGTTCTGGTGAGGCGACATGTCTCGAGGAACCAGGCTGGGCCCCACCGGCGTGGTCTTCCAGGGGCTGGCCCTCCCTGGACTCACGCGCCCAGCACTGGGGCCCCCTCTGAGGGAACTGGGGTGAGCAGGTGCTGAATATCCCATGGGGACGCTGCAGAGGGAGCAGAAGAGTGGGCACAGGCCCAGGGTGGCGTCCTGGGGAGCAGTCCACTGGGGTCTGTGGGGCCCGAGTGGGGGGCTTGCCTGGGGAGAGCCTCTGCTGCTGCAACGTCAGGACTCTGGGGCTCGGGACTGGCCTTCCTGCCAGGAGGTGCCCACTCACAGGGCCGTGGCTCAGGGGGCGCGGGGTTCCTGGCCCAGGACATCAGGCTGGCCCCTCCCCGCAGGGCCACCCTGCTCCTGGACCAGTACCGGAAGAAGTCCCGGCTATTCCGCAGCCACGTCCTGCTGGTGCCGCTGGGCGACGACTTCCGCTATGACAAGCCGCAGGAGTGGGACGCCCAGTTCTCCAACTACCAGCGGCTCTTCGACTTCCTCAACAGCAAGCCCGACCTGCACGTGCAGGTGCGGGGACGCAGCCCAGGCATTCCCGGCTCTGGCGGGTCTCCCGGGCGCCCAGCTTATGCGGGCCATGGCAGCTGCTGCTCGGGGGCCATGCTTCCCAGGAGGGTCTGGCACTGAGGGGCTTTTGGGGTCCCCACAGGCCCAGTTTGGCACCCTGTCTGACTATTTTGACGCCCTGTACAAGAGGACAGGGGTGGAACCAGGGGCGCGGCCTCCAGGCTTCCCCGTGCTCAGCGGCGACTTCTTCTCCTACGCCGACCGCGAGGATCATTACTGGACAGGCTACTATACCTCCCGGCCTTTCTACAAGCGCCTGGACCGAGTGCTGGAAGCCCACCTGCGGTAAGCTGCCCCCGGCCTGGAGGGAGTCCGCTGCGGGGCCTGGGGGCACGGCCTGGCTGTGGGGAGACAAGCAAAGACCCGGGCATGGGGAGAGTGTAGGAGGGCGGCGCGGGCGGACAGGCAGGCGCTGACCCCTCTCTCCCGGCAGGGGGGCAGAGATCTTGTACAGCCTGGCGGTTGCCCACGCCCGCCGCGCTGAGCTGGCCGGCCAGTACCCCCTATCGAACTTCGCCCTCCTGACGGAAGCGCGGCGCACGCTGGGCCTCTTCCAGCACCACGATGCCATCACCGGCACGGCCAAGGAGGCGGTGGTAGTGGACTATGGGGTCAGGTGGGATCCCCCTCCGTTCACCCTCTCCTCTCCCCCAGAGGGGCAGTTGGGCAGTCCCGACCCCGCCCCAGAGGGCTCTGCGGCCCTCTTCACCACCACCCCCCTCCCGTCCCCAGACTCCTGCGCGCCCTGGTGGGCCTGAAGCAGGTGATCATAAACGCAGCCCACTACCTGGTGCTGGGGGACAAGGACGCCTACCGCTTTGACCCAGAGGCCCCCTTCCTCCAGATGGTGAGCCCCCGCCCCCATGCTCAGGCAGTCCCCTCAGAGTGGCCTGGGGTGCAGCTCCTCTTCTCACCGTCCTGGGCACAGCCCCGCACGGGTGGCTGGTGCCCATCCCTGGACGGGCGTGGGAGGCAGCTCGCCCGGCCTCTCCATCCCACCCCTCTTCCAGGATGAGACGCGCTTGAGTCACGACGCCCTGCCGGAGCGCACAGTCCTCCAGCTGGAGTCCTCCCCACGGTGAGCTACACGGGGGTGCAGGAGCGGGTGCGCCTGGTGCTGTGGGACCCTGCCCCGAGACCTCCGGGTGAGCCCACCCTCCCCGCAGGTACGTGGTGCTGTTCAACCCCCTGGAGCAGGAGCGGCTCAGCGTGGTGGCCCTGCTTGTCAGCTCGCCCCGCGTGCGCGTCCTCTCGGAGGAGGGGCAGCCGCTGGCCGTGCAGATCAGCGCACACTGGAGCTCTGCCACCGACATGGTCCCCAACATCTACCAGGTGAGGGCCTCCCTGCCCTCGTGGGGGCCTTCAGGGGCGGGGGCCTCTCCGGACTTGACTGTCCGTGGACAGAGGTGAAGGACCATGATGGCAACAGCAGAGACAGTATCACATTGCCCTCGCTCCTTCAGTCATTCAGCAAACACCGAATCCATTTCACAGCCTCTTGGTGTGGTCTGAGACTCTAAGTCCTCGAGGGGCCAGCCACGCCCCTGCACTCTGGGTGGGCTCTCTGGGGCTCCCTGGGGGTCCCCAGCAGGGGCTGTAGCTGCCTCCTCACCCTGTGCCCGCAGGTGTCTGTGCCCATCCGCCTGCCGGCGCTGGGCCTCAGTGTGCTGCAGCTGCAGCTGGGCGTGGACGGCCCCCGCACACTGCCCTCGTCCACACGCGTCTACCTGCATGGCCGGCGGCTGTCCGTCAGCAGGCACGAGGCCTTCCCTCTGCGCGTCGTCGACTCTGGCAGCAGCGACTTTGCCCTCAGCAACCGCTACATGCAGGTCTGGTTCTCAGGCCTGACCGGGCTCCTCAAGGTAAAGGATGAGGGGCTGGAGGAGGTGCTTGCCTTGGCCTCGGCCGAGAGCTGCCCCCACTGTCGGTGGCCTGGGTGTGGCGCTCCTCACCGCTGACAGCTGGGGGGAGCCGGGCGTGGCTCCTGGGGAAGTTAGTCTGCGCCCTCCCAGAGGGCAGGCCTGACATGCTGGTCTGGGGCCAGGGGTCAGGGCTGTGTTTCTTGGCAGAGCATCCGAAGGGTGGACGAGGAGCAGGAGCAGCGGGTGGACATGGAATTCCTCATCTATGGCACCCGCACGTCCAAAGACAAAAGCGGAGCCTACCTCTTCCTGCCTGATGGTGAAGCCCAGGTTCGCGGGCACCCCGCGGGCAGGGGCCGCCCCTGGGGGCCCCTCTACCTGGAAGAGAGTGAAGGGAGGCCTGGGTTGGGGGCCGCTCCCTCCTCCAGGCCATCTCTGCCTGGGGCCGGGGCTTGCCATCTCTGGGGAGGGGTCCGGGTGGGGCTCCGCTTTGGCCTTCTGGCTGAGCCTGGCGAGAGACATCCCCCCACCCCCCCACCCCCGCCTCTGGGGTGGCGTCAGCTGCCCCCTGCTCTTTCCTCAGCCCTATGTCCCCAAGGACCCCCCAGTGCTGCGTGTCACCGAAGGCCCTTTCTTCTCCGAGGTGGTTGCCTACTACGAGCACGTCCACCAGGTGGTCCGGCTCTACAATCTGCCAGGTGAGCCCACGGCCCGGCAGGTCTGGAAGGAGCATGGCTGCCGCAGTGGCTGCTCTGCTCTTCTGGCCACTTTCTGGCCTGGACAAACTTTCATTCTCTTGGAGTGAGGTTGTCCACAGCTGCCCTGGGAGCTGCCCCCCGAGGGCACAGTGTCCCCCAGCCCGATTCCTCGGGTAGGGCCCACCTTGCACCCTCAGTGCTCTCCTGTCCCCATGCCCAGGGGTGGAGGGGCTGTCTCTGGACGTCTCCACTCTGGTGGACATCCGGGACCATGTCAACAAGGAGCTGGCCCTGCGCATCCACACGGACATCGCCAGCCAGGGCATCTTCTTTACGGACCTCAATGGCTTCCAGGTGAGTCCTGCGCCCCAGGCTTTTGGAGACCCAAGTGCAGAGCTGAGCTGTCCTCAGTGCTGGGGGTGGCTCAGACGGAGCAGGAGGAGGTGGAGGGTAGAGTAATCAGGGACCTTTCAGACGTGGGAACCCTTTGTGCCCCAAATGGTGCTTTCATGCCTTTGACGTGCCAGCCCTCCCTCCACAGGTGCAGCCCCGGCGATACCTGAAGAAGCTGCCCCTGCAGGCCAACTTCTACCCCATGCCCGTCATGGCCTATATCCAGGACGCTCAGAACCGCCTCACGCTGCACACTGCCCAGGCGCTGGGCGTCTCCAGCCTGCACGATGGTGAGGGCCCCTGCAGGCAGGAGGGGGGGTGGCTCTCACCTAGGTGTGTCCCGCCCATCTCCTGGCCAGGACTGGCAGTAGCGACAGCTTGAAAAGTGCATTTGATGTTACCATGAGGTAGTTTGCAGAGGAGAAAAATAGACGCCCTTGTCCCGTTAATGGGGCTGGGAAAGAGAATGGCGTTCTGAAGCACCAGAACTAGCACACGAGGGGAGGGGCTGGCCTAGAGCTGGCCATAGGACACCCCCAGAGCATCAGCGGGAGGCTGAGGCCTGGGCCTCCCTGGGAGGCACCTCTGGGTGCTGAGCTGGGTGTGACCCCACTGCCGCAGCCCTCGAAAGAGATGTGATCACCTGCCCCTCCCTGGGTGTCCCAGAGGACACCTGACCTGCCTCCAGCCTCCCGCTCGTCACCTGCCTCTTGACGAAGGCGGTGGGTGGAGCTCAAGGCTGTCCCTGCGCAGGACCAGAACTCGTCTTCCAGCTAAACTCTGACACAACAAACTGCCTGAGCCAGGAAGGCCCGCGGTGTGGCCGGTGCGCCTGGCCCTGCAGCCTGGTCCCCGGCAGGCCCCGCCACCTCCCCCCGGGACGCTTGGGCTCCTTCGGCTGCTTCTCCCAGTGGCTCCCTTCTAGGGTGCTCGTGGGGCTTGTCCCTCCCGGCCTGTGGGTAGCTGGTGGCAGGCCAGGGGCTCATGGTCTCCGCCCCCAGGCCAGCTGGAGGTGATCTTGGACCGGCGGCTGATGCAGGACGACAACCGGGGCCTCGGCCAGGGGCTCAAGGACAACAAGAGGACCCGGAACCACTTCCGCCTCCTGCTGGAGCGGCGAGTTCTGGGCAGCGAGGTTCGTTCTCTGCCTCTCCTAGGGTCCCCGGTCAGGCCGGTCCCCGGGCGTGGCCCTGGGGTTCAGCCCAGGCTGGGGAGCGCTGCAAAGGCGGAACAGGCCTGCCTCCTGCATGGGGACAGTCTGGAGCCTCGCTGCTCGGCCTCACGCACCCCGGGCCCCTCGTGCGCTCTCCTTCCCCGGCCCTCTGCCCCGGCCGCGCAGCTCATGGCTCTGCGCCTGCCAGCCCGCCTTTTCTCCACCCTGGCAGCCATGCTTAGGGACTTGACCTTTCAGAGTCCCAGGAGCAACGATGGGGGGCAAGGGTGGCCGGGGGCACGCTTAGCACGTAGTCCCCCAGCCGGAGCCCACACAGACAAAGCCTGCCGCCAGCCTCCACGTCTGTGGCCCCCTTCCATCACCAAGTGGATGCTGAGCGCCTGCTTTAAGGTCTGCGAGGGGCACGCGCTCTGAAGATAGGACCTGACCCTCCAGGGAGTACGGGTTGCGAGTGGGGGTTGCCTGTGTGAACGCCGGCGGCAGAGGATGAGCACGTCCCCAGCAGCCAGTGGCGCTGCGGCCTAGGGGCGAGGACAGCTTCTCTGATGAGTGGGGCATGTTCTCACCGGAGACCCAGGCTCCCTGGGGAAGCCCACAGCGAGTCTGTGGTAACTGCTGTGGGAGCCGAACCCCCGGGGCAGGGAGCTGGTGTGGCTGGAGGCCGCGCAGCCAGGCCCCACGTGCCCTCACTCACTGGCAGGCCCTTTCCTAGATGCCCCGGGGGTGCGGCTGCTCCTCACCCCACTCTCACCCACCTTGCAGGTCCAGGACCACCACCCCGCCAGCTACCCATCCCTCCTCAGCCACCTGACCTCCGCCCACCTGAACAGCCCAGCGCTGGCCCTGCCTGTGACCACGCAGCCACCGCCCGGCCCTGCCCTGCGCTCCTTTCACCCCCTGGTGTCCTCCCTGCCCTGTGACTTCCATCTGCTCAACCTGCGTGCGCTGCAGGCCGAGGTAAGTGCCCTCTAGGCCTCCTCACGAGCCCTCCTATGCCTGCCGCCCTCAGAGCTGGCCCTCCACACACACACACCCCTCCCCACCGTGTGCTCTTATCCAGGATGCTGTGTTGCCCTCGGCAGAGGCCGCCCTCATCTTACACCGCAAGGGCTTCGACTGTGGCCTCGAGGCCAAGAACTTAGGCTTCAACTGCACCACAAGCCAAGGCAAGGTGAGCAGCCAGGTGGGGGAACGGCAGGCCCTGGAGATGGGATGGGCACCCAGGACAGCAGGGTGGCAGTGATGGGGTCACTCTGGGGCTTTCTGGAGAGAAAGGGGAAGCTGTGGGCCTGTGTGGTCAAAGCTGCAGAGGCCCAGAGGGCAAGCTCTAGCCGGGACTTGGGACAGCCTCTGTTCCGTGAGGAGGGGTCTCATGGAGCGGAGTGGGAAACACCACAACAGAGTCCAGGGCCAGTGTCTCCACGTCCCAGCTCCTGTGCTGCCCTGTCCCCGGGGGGCTGGCCTTGAGGCTAAGGGGGGCTCAGGGCCCCTTACAAGCCCATATGTCTACGTGGACCCCTTCACCGCGCTTCTCTGAGATTCTGAGGAGGTGACAACCTCTGCAGAGGGAGGGCTGTGGGGCCCAGCGTGTCCACACCGCAGCCAACACCTCGGGCCCTCTGTGCAGGTGGCCCTGGGCAGCCTTTTCCGTGGCCTGGACGTGGGTTTCCTTCAGCCCACCTCCTTGACGCTGCTGTACCCGCTGGCCTCGCCCTCCAACAACACCGACGTCTACTTGGAGCCCATGGAGATCGCCACCTTCCGCCTCCGCCTGGGCTAGGACTTCCGTGGCCGGAAGAGAACGATCATGCACAGAGACGGACTCTTATCACCCATGTCAGGTCGGGTTGGACGAGCCACACTGGGGACCCCATCCCGATCTACCTCTCAGACCTGCGACCGAGGCTCTGCCCTGGTTTCCTGTTTATTGCGTCTGTGTTCGGGGCGCCCTGCGAGCCAGTGCTGGGCCCAAAGGGCAGACGCCAGAGAGAGCAGAGGAGGCCCAGGGCCCGGTGGCACTGCAGGACTCTGCGGCAGTTTCTGAGCGCCGCCCCCTGGGGTGCAGGCTCAAGTCCCCATCCTTTTCCCAGTGTGGCTGAAGGAGACGCAGGGACAGGAGGCCGAGCAGGTAACTGCCTGGCGTCAGGGTGGCCCATGACAAGAGCGGGCTTGAGGAGAACCAAGGTCATGTGGCGCCTGCGTGGCCTGGGGTGACAAGCGGGGGCAGTGTTGCCGGGAGGCGGAGGCTGGGGGTAGAGTGAGCAGTGGGCGGAGAGGGAAGAGACTTGCTGCTCCTTGGTGGCCCCCCTCAGAGTGCCTCTGGCTGCGCCCTGGCCCTGTGGGGCCACGCGGTGAAGGACTCGCTGAGATGGTCACGGCCGGACGTCAGATGATATTTCAGGTACTGAAAACCCTGTTTAAACTGGGCACTTGGTCTGTGTGTTGATTTGTGGGCTGGTGGCAGGCGCGTGGGAGCTCTGCCTGCCTGACTCCTGTCTGGAGGCTGGACTCTGGACACAGTCCCAGGGCCCTCCCCTGGGGGTGCGTGGGCTGGCTGGCTGCCCTCCCTGGAGAGAAAGGAAGCCTCCCGGGCCCCCGGTAGCTGGGCAACCAGAGACATGTTCACCCCCTCCCCGCTTCAGTGCTTCACCCTCGACACTGTCCAGAGGGTGGGGTCCCAACACGGGGACTCGGGTCATGGAAAGTGAGGTAGGAGGAGGCTGACCGTGCCTCAGCCTTTTCCAGCTTCAACGAATCGAGAAAAGCCACAGTGGTCCCTGTAGATGGCACCTGGTGCTTGGTGACGTGGTCAGTGTCTCCCTCGTCTGCCAGCGGGGACGCGGCGTCGGACAGGTGGCGCTGTCAGTGGCAGGAGGTGGCTTGTTTCATAAATGAGGCTTGGAAGACAACTGGCCACCCACTAAAGGGAGGGGCAGAGCTCTCCCTCGAGGTGTCCACAAACACTAGTTCCAGAGGAGAAAAGCAGAATGTCAGACTAAAAGTTACTGAAGAAAATAGAGGATAATTTTATATCCCTGGTGTAGGAAGGTCTTTTTAAAATACAACATGAAAACGAAAAGATAATAAGGGGAAAGAGATTTTACCACGAAAAACATTGGCGGTTTCTGTGTGGTGGTGAAGACCAAGGTTAAACACAAATGGCAGGTTTGGGAGAAGGTGTCCGCGGCACGGGACGAGGCGGGACCTGCATTTGTTTGTGCAACAGTAGCCGTGGGTCCTTGGAGAAAGGCCTGCTGAGTAGCTCCCTAAAGACTGGGGGGCACGGCTTGGAGGCCCGCAGGCCACCCAGGGCTGTCGCCGCCAGCGCCTGCCTGCAGCCCTGTGGGAGTCTGGGTGGAGGAAATGAGTCGATGAGACCTGCCGAGCGATGTGCCCCGTGCGCAGGAGCGCGCTTACCCACGAGCTGTACCCCAGTGAGTAAGGAGCTAAGCCGTCACGCTGTGGCAGCTATTGGAATGTCGGGGTGACTCTGCGCACCCCTCGGAAATTAGCAGAGTAAAGGATGCTGTCTGTGGAGATCTTGCCTTACTGGCCTGCCAGGACTGCCACGTGTAATCCCGCGCACTCACCTTCGCAGGCGGCCTTGCCCGAGCGGGGCCAGAATCACCAGAGCAGCTCGCTGAGACGCCCGCCCTCCGCCAGGGCTGACCCGCCTGCTCCCCCAGCCTGCAGGCTGGAGTGGGGTCTGCAGGTCAGAGGCCCCGCTCGCTGGGCTGACATGGAACAAGGCCAAGCCAAAAAGCTCTCCAAGGACAAGCAGATTCCCGGGCATGACCTATGGAACCCAACTCTGGAGTAGCAGCCAAAGAATGTGGCGTTGCGACAAGCTCCCCGGCGCTGCCTTGGCACACGTAATTGGAAGAGGCCGGATTTCAGGCAAGCAACGACCCTCAGTGCTCTGGCGCGGAGGCCTCGATTCTGAGTCAAAACCGGAACTCCTGGGACTGGATAAGAGCCCGGGCCTGAGCCCTCGCCCACCGGCCAGCTCCCGTGGGGGCGGAGCTGCGTGGCTGGGGAGCCAGAGCGGAGAGCTGCGTCCTGCCATCCTGGCGAGCAGGCCCGGACCGCTCTGAGCTGGCTGCGTAGAACCTCAAGTACACAGAGCGCCAACACCTTTACCTAACAGGACCTGCTGCCCACGCGTGCCTGTGCTGAGCTGACGTCACGTGTCTACTTGGGAAAGCCATGTGAGGCTCATCGTCCAAATCAGGGAACAAAATCACCGATTTTTCCCTTGACAAGTGTCTGAACAAACACTTAAGAGGGGAGGAGAGGCTGGTGGCGACACCACGTACTTCACAAAGCCTCCCTCTTACTGAAGGTTAGGGGGAGTGGATGCAGAGCCTACCAGGTGTCAGGACGAAGGGGGGCTGCTGAGGTTCTCTGTCCATTTGGGCTCCTGACTGCAGCCCTCTCTCACCGAGCTAAACCAGAAATGAACGTGAACTCGGTGCAGTTAGGAAACCCAGGTGCAGCTGGAGCGGAGTCCTCGGGCCTTTGGGATGTGACAGATTTAAGCCAAGGCGACTCTTGAAGCCTTGAGAAACTCCAGCAGAGGAGAGACTGGGGCCTCCTGTCAGAATGGCTGGGGCGGTGCCTTCAAACAAAGGGCGTACTCCCCCAAACTCCTGCTCCCTAACCCCCAACATCTCAGGATGCTGAGTAAGACACTGAAGATGGAACAGCAGCGTCATGCAGCAGGAGGGCAGCTTTTTTGACCAAGAATGGAGAGACCAACCAGGGTCTGAGCAGAAGGTGGGGCGATGCAGCTCAGGAGGAACCTGCCGGCTCAGGACAGGGGGCGCTAGGCTTTGCCTTGCATGGTGGGGCTGACCCGGGGAGGTCAGCCTCTCTGAGTGAGGAGCACGGGCAGGAAAGCCAGCGAGGCTGCAAACGAAGCCTCGGCTCAACACACAGCCAGAACTAACGCTGCATCAAAATCTACGTGAGGGATAGACACTGGATTGATGCAGGTGAGATTTTAGAAAACAAAACAAGAAACTTTGTGGGCTTGAAAAATACAATAGAGGAATCACTCGAATATACAAGATAAAAGGAAAATATAAGAAGCGCTAAGAGAGACAGGATGATGATAAGCTTTGACATAATCTTTAACAGCAGTTGTGAGAGACTAGTGAGAGAAGAAGAAAACAATCAGATCATGGGTTTTCAGATGGAAGAAAAATACGAATTCTCAGAATGAAAGAGATGACTGAGTTCCAAGAAAGTTGCCATGAAAAAAAATCCTCACTCTCAAAATCAACCAGAGAGAGGGCCTCCCCGGTGGCGCAGCGGTTGAGCGCTGGGTTGCGAAGCTGCCCGCAGCCTCTGCAGTGCTGGTTCGATCCCCGGCTGCTCCCCGGCCACCGGAGGAGGGTCCCCCCGCATGGCGCGCAGACCTCTCCTGCCGCCCGCTGCTCCCCTCGGCAGTGTCCTTCGGTCCTTCTGCCTGCTCTGCTCCCCGCTCTGGCTCTGGTGGATCCTCTCGCCCTCCCGCGCTTCTGACTGTACCCGGTAAATAAATAAATGTGTAAATAAATAAATAAATCTTTAAAAAAAAAAAAATCAACCAGAGAGAAAACATAGAAGCCTTAGAAAGGAGAGACGGATGAAAGGCTGGCAGCCTTACGGGGAGTCCGTGAGATGAAACACTCAGCCTGGGGGGCTGTCAGCACCCCTGCATCCAGTGCCAGCTGCACTGTCACTCAAGAATGGGGGGAGATGATATCTTTTGGTAGGCAAAGACCAAGATTTTGCAGTTTCAGTGGAAGAAGAAAAGATGTTCATCAGCAAAAAAGAATTGATGTTTTTTGGGCGCATAAAACTAACGGCATCATTGGCCATGAAATACAGCATTTTGTAATTTAAAAAGAGGAACTAAAATCCTGGATAGCAATAATGTTAGAAAGGCATTTTTTTTTTAAAGATTGATTTAGTGTGCATACAAGAACTGGGGTACAGGCCAGAGGTGTGGGGGGTGAGAGGAGTCACCCTCCTGTTCCCACACTGCCCCGTTATGGAGCAAGTCAGTGGTGACGAGCTCTGCAGTCTTGTTCTGCGCGTGCACCACGCTTCCTACATCATGCAGCCCTGGAGACAGAGACAGAGTGGGGAACAGAACAGGCAGACTGACTGAAATGCACTGCTGAGGGGAGCAGCGGGGAGACAGGGGAGGTCTGCTGCGCCGTGTGCGTAGCCCCCTGGCCGGCCAGGGATCGAACTCGTGCTGCAGTGGCTGCGGACAGTTGCCTCTCAAGCCCCTGTGCCACCAGGGAGGCCCAGAAAGGCAAAGAGGTTCTTGTTGGGGCGAAATGCAAGCACACCTTGTGATTCACATGCACAAGGAAATGTGTGTGCACGGCCGCTGGGCACTGTCGGTGTCGAGAAAAGTTGGAGACAAAACTGTTTATGAGAAAGGGGCGCCCGGGGAGAGACGCGCCTCCCGCGGGGCTGTGCGGGCTCCTCCACGCCCGTCCACGTGGGTGGCCGCCTGCGGAGCACGCTGCGTCCCGAAAACACTCCCGGCCGGTCGTGTGGAAAGGTGCCTGTACATTGGGTTTCTGAAAAACAACTGCTGAATCGAAAAGCTAAGTATTGTCGGGGCCCCCGGACTCGGGCCGGGCCAGAAACCTCGGGCCTGGCCTTTGCCGCCGAGTCCGGCGGGGCCTGGCCCAGCGCGGGCCCCTCTCGCCGGCGCGCCTGGTCCCGACCGTCCCCGGGGTCTCCGCCGCCGCGGCCGGGCACTGGGGAGCGGCGGCGCGGGCAGCGCCGAGCGCCGGGCCGGAGCGTTCCCGGGACGCCGGCACCTCGCGGGCGACGCCGCCCCCGGGAAGCCCGCGCTTCGCGGCGTCCCCACGGCGACCTCCTCGGGGGCGCAAGCCCCGGACCAGCCCCGCGGCCGGCGCGACGCGCGCCCCGCCCCGCCCCGCCCCACCCCCGCGGGCGGGGCCCGGGCCCGGGCCCGGCGGCCTCCGGCAGCGCCTGTCGCTCAGCCTCCGGGGGACGCCCGCGCGTGGGGCCCGCCCCTCCCGCCCCTCCCGGACACGAGGGCGCCCCCCGCTCCGCGGGCCGGACAAGGAGCAGCAGCCACCGAAGCTTGACCCAAGTCGCTTTATTCCCGCCGCCCCGCGCGGGCGCCCCGGGCCTGGTGTGCGGGCGGGATGGGGCGGGCGCGGGGCCCCGGGTCGGGGGGCGGGCGGGGTGCGGGGCGGGCGGGCCGGGGCCCCGGGTCTGGGGGGCGGGCGCGGGGCGGGCCGGGCCCCGGGTCGGGGGGCGGGCGGGGTGCGGGCGGGGGGCCGGGGCCCCGGGTCGGGGGGCGGGCGGGGTGCGGGCGGGCGGGCCGGGCCCGCTCACAGCTCCAGCCCGCGCTCCCGGAACAGCCGCGCCAGCGCGTCCTCCAGCGGCGCGCTCGTGCCCCGCAGCCCGCGCACCACGCGCGCCGCCCACTCGAAGTACTCGTGCACGCGCGCGGGCGGCCAGCCTGCGGGGACAGCCGGCGGCCCTGAGGCGGGCCGGGACCTGGGGGGGCCCCGCCCCCCCGGCTGCCCCCCGCCCCCCCGGGATGCCCCCGCCCCCCCGGCTGCCCCCCCCCCCCCCCCCGGCTGCCCCCGCCCCCCCGGCTGCCCCCCGCCCCCCCGGCTGCCCCCGCCCCCCGGGATGCCCCCGCCCCCCCGGCTGCCCCCCGCCCCCCCCGGCTGCCCCCGCCCCCCCGGCTGCCCCCCGCACCCCCCCCCGGCTGCCCCCCGCCCCCCCGGGATGCCCCCCGCCCCCCCGGGCTGCCCCCGCCCCCCCGGGCTGCCCCCCGCCCCCCCGGCTGCCCCCGCCCCCCCGGCTGCCCCCGCCCCCCGGCTGCCCCCCGCCCCCCCGGCTGCCCCCCGCCCCCCCCCCGGCTGCCCCCCGCCCCCCCGGCTGCCCCGCCCCCCGGCTGCCCCCCGCCCCCCCGGCTGCCCCCCGCCCCCCCGGCTGCCCCCGCCCCCCCGGGATGCCCCCGCCCCCCCGGCTGCCCCCCGCCCCCCCGGCTGCCCCCGCCCCCCCCCCGGCTGCCCCCGCCCCCCCCCGGCTGCCCCCCGCGCGCGTCCGGGCGGGGCGCCTACCCGCGGGCGGGCAGCGCTGCAGGTCGCGCAGGTTGTGCAGCTTGTCCGCCAGCGCCAGCAGCTTGGCCGCGGGGCTGCGGCGCGGCGCGCGCTCCTCCTGCAGCCGCTTGCGCTCGGCCGGCGGCAGCGCCTTGTCGTCCGTCAGCTCCTCCACCAGGCGGCGCACGCGCGCCCCGAAGCGCCGCTCCAGCTCCTCGGCGGTGGCGTCCGTGTCCTCCAGCGCGTCGTGCAGCAGCGCGGCCTGCGGCGGCCCCGTCAGCCGCGCGGCCCCCGCCCCCGGCCCCCCGCCCCCGCCCCCGCGGGCGCGTTACCTGCAGCACCTCAACGTCCGTGACCCCCGCCTCGCGCGCCAGGATCCGCGCCACCCCTGCGGGCGAGCGGGCGGTCACACGGGGCCCCGGGCGAGTCCCCGACCGCGGGCCCCCCCCGGCGCCGCCCCACCGATGGGGTGGTTGATGTAGGGGGTCCCCTCGGGGTCCTTGCGCCGCTGCCGTCGGTGCTTGCGCGCCGCGAAGTCGGCCGCGTCCAGCAGCCGCGCCAGCTCCGAGTCCATCGCGCGGCGGGGCGCCCACGGCGTGTCCACAGCGCCCCCTGGCGCCGCGGAGGCCGGCCCGGGCGCGCCCCACCGGCCGGCGCGAGAGCCGCGCTGCCCGCCGCCCCGAGCATCCCCGCCGGGCGCCCTGGGCGGGGGCGGGAGACAAGCAAGGCTGCGCGTGTCCGGGCGGGAGGGCGCGGCGGCCGCGGCCCCGGCAGCTCCCCGAGCCCGGGGTCCCCCCCGGGGAGGGGGCGCGGCTCTCGGCCCATGAAAAGTCACTCCCGGCCGTCCGCAGCGGCCCCGCAGGCGTGATGTTGGGGCTCCCGGGACCAGCCCCGAGCGGCAACCCCCGGTCTCAGTGCTCTCACGCAGCTCTCCCCGAGGGGCTGGGCCTGGGTGCTGCAGGCCAGGAGTCTCCCCTCTGGGCCCTGGCAGGCCCCAGGGCTAACCCGGGGAAATTTCCAGCCTCTTGCTTCGACGGGGGCTCCGGGCAGCTGTGGTGTTTCCGCGAGAAGTGCCCTTGCTCCAGACACCAGGACAGAATCGCGCTTCTTCCCTGGGCTGAAGGGCTCCTCCCCTCCCCCAGGCTCCCGCCCGGGCCCTCGGCGACCAGCGGCGCAGCTGCCCGCAGCCCTGTGGGAGAAGTCCGAGGGCTCGGGACAGCCCCGCCCTGGAGGCCTCGCCTTCCAGAGACAGTTCGCGTCTCTGGGGAGGGCATCTACTGCCCCGGCTGATGGAGCCCTGGGGCCCGCAGACTTTCCCCAGGCGAGGGGTTGGCCGGCTGCTAAGTAACCTCCAACCAGGCAGGGAGCCTCGGGCCTCAGCGGCAGCGAGGGCAGGAGCGCAGCGGAGACGGGAAGGAAAGGACTCGCCCTGCGTTCGGCTAGTCCTGGAGGTTGCCACGAGGCAGCGGTGAGGGAGGGAAGCTCCAGACTGCTGGGCTGAGGTCTCCGGGGCCTGGAACGCAGAGGCCAGAATTCCCCAGGCTTCCAGCACAGCCTGAGAGTTGACGGTGGGTGGAGAGAAGCGAACCCGGCCCTTGATGCTTGTCTGTCCTCGGGCGAACAGCTCACCTTCTCTCTCTCCCGTTGCCCGTCTTCTGAGCCTTTCCCCCAGCTCAGAAACCCTTGGGCCTCCCATTTTCCAAGAGAAGATAGAAACTCAGTCTCTCTCGCCCCCTCTCAAGGCCCGTGACAGAGAAGCCTCAGGTCTGTGCCATGTACCCAGGGGCTGTGGGGCTTTGATCTCTATTTCCTTACTGTCTGCAGCCATGGCGTAGCAGGAGTGATGTTGGGCCTCCCGGGACCAGGGCCGAGGTGGAGGTGACCCCTCATGGGCTTCCCCGGGAGTCTGGGCCCTCTGCTGACAGGCCTGTCTGTGGGGCTCCTGGTACTCTTCAGCGGGGTGCCTCTGGCCCAGCCCACCGACCTCTCAGGTACAGCCTTCTGCTCGTGCCCATCTCCGCAGGGGTAGGTGCTCTGGGGAGCTGCTGGGGAGGAGGCAGCCCATGGCTGATCCCTTTCACTCTCCCGAAAGGGTGCGGGGGGGGGTGTGGACACCCTTCCTGCCGGCCTCCAGCCCCTTGTCCCTCCAGCAGCACTGGCCCACCACCCCCACTTGTGCCAGACCACCAGGGATGCGGAGGGCCGCCACCACCCGGGTTTCTTCTGCCCTCGGCTCTCGGATGCGCCGGAGGAAGCCTACTGCTGCCACCTGCGGGCCGCGGGGGGCTCCTGCTGCACCCTGCGCGAATTCGAGGCCTTGTACCAGGTGAACCTGTCCGCCCTTCCGCCCCCGCCCATCTTCAGGTGAGCACCGGCCCGGAGCCCTGGAACGCCGACGGGGCGGCGCCTGTTCCAAGTTCAGGGGAGGGAGGCTTGTCGCCTGCAGACTAGCGGCCCAGGGCTGTGCCCCGGGGTCGCGCAGGCGTCGGGTGCGGGGAGTGCGGGGTGTCGGGACGAGAGACTCTTGCGGGCCGTGCGCCGCGGCACCGCACGCGAGTCGGGTTGGTGACGCTTGATTCCCCCGGGGAGGGCCTCGGGCTGCCAGCGGCCCCTCGTCGCGGCGGGCCTCGCGGGCGGCCCGCCGGCCTCTTGACGGCCTCCTGACGGCCTCCCGACGGCCTCTTGACGGCCTCCCGCAGGGGCCCGGGCCCGCTCCTGGCGCTGGGCCTCTACAGCCTGCTGCTCGTGGCGCTGATGACCGCAGACCTCGTGCACTTCTGCCGCGTCCGGGGCCGGGGCCGAGGCCCGGGCCGGAGTCGGAGTCCGGGCCGGGGCCGGGGCCGGGGCGCGGATCGCCGGCGCCGCGCGCCTCCAGCGCGGTCCTCCGCGGCGCGCCCCCTGCGGGTCTGCGCGGGGGTGAACTAGGCGCGCCGGGGCGGTCTGCGCCTGCGCGGCCGGAGCCGTCGGCGCCTGCGCGCCCGGGCCGCGCCGGGGCCCCGCCCCCCCTCCGACGCGCGACGGGGCGGGGCCGCGCGGCGGAGGCCCCGGGAGCGCCCCACGCCCCGCAGACTGCGCCTGCGCGCCCGCACGTCGCTTCGGGATGACGGTGAGTGCGCGGGGACCCCGGGGGGCGGCCCCCGCGCCCCCCTCCCCGCCCCCGCCCCCGCCCGCGCCCCCCTCCCCGGCCCGGGCCCTGCCCCTGCCCACGCCGGCGCCTCTGCCCCGCGCAGGCCCGCGCCGCGGAGCAGCTGCGGACGGAGGGCAACGAGCTGTTCCAGGCCGGCGACTACGACGGCGCCCTGGCGGCCTACGGCCGGGCCCTGGCGCTGGGCGCGCCGCCCCGGGACCGGGCGGTCCTGCACCGGAACCGGGCCGCCTGCCACCTCAAGCTGGTGAGCGAGCCCGCCCGCGCCCGCCCTCCTCCCGCGCCCGCGCCCGCGCCCCGCGCCCGCACTGCCCGGGCCACCCCGCTCGGGCGTGCGGGGGCTCGGGGCGGGGTGACGGGAGCACAGCCCCGCTGCCGGGAGTTCCCCCAGGGGACATGCCGCCCTCCCGCCCCTTCTCCCGCAGGAGGACTACGAGCAGGCGGAAAAGGAGGCGTCCAAAGGTAGGGGCGCGGGCCGTCCGGGCCCGGGGCTGCTCCGGTGGGCAGGGCCTGGGGACCACAGCGCCTACACCCTCTCCTGCCACCCGGCGCTCCGCCGCCTCTCTTTCCCACTCCCGCGGGCCTTTCCTTCTCTGCAGCTGCGCTCACCTTCTCTGAGGCCGAAGTGCTGAGCGGCACCTTCCTCCCCGTCTTCCTCTGGCGCTGGAGATCTGTCCCTCCTGCTCTTGCCTGGAGACGGTGGCCTCCCGGGCGCTGACAGGGCTCCTGTTTGTGCTCAGCCATTGAAAAGGATGGTGGGGACGTCAAAGCACTTTACCGGCGGAGCCAAGCCCTGGAGAAGCTGGGCCGCCTGGACCAGGCCGTCTTGGACCTGCAGAGATGTGTGAGCCTGGAGCCCAAGAACAAGGTGTTCCAGGAGGCCCTGCGCAGCATCGGGGGCCAGATTCAGGAGAAGGTATGAGAGTGGCGGGAGAGCGCAGCGGGTGGGGCCCGGGGACTCCAACCTGGGTCCCGTGTCCGCAAGGTCCCTGGAGCAGAGGCGGCAAGCAGATGAGCTTATGGCCTGATGCTCGCCCTGCCTGCAGCCCGGGAAAGCAGATTAAATCATAGCGAGATGTCGCTTTCTCAGAGGTGTGTTTCTCAGACTGTGTAAAGCTTGTACCCTTTGCTGAGGGAGAGAGGCAGACACCGGGTGACGTTGGGGGAACGTGGGCTCGCCCAGGGCTGCTGGAGGAGGTGTAAACCGGCACAGCTCTTTAAGGAGACCTTAGTGTAGCTCTTAAAACTTTAAATGGGCATCTTCCATGGTCTAGCCCTTTTGCCGTCTGCCCTAGAGAAGCCTCGTCTGCGTACCCAAGCGGGCCTGGGTGTGTTGTCATCAGCCTTGTTTGCAGTGGTGAGGACGGGACTGGCTGCATAAACTCCTGAGCTGTGGGGCCCGGGACAGGTGGCAGCACGTGTGGACGTGGAGAGCAGACACGTTAAAACTTTCTTCCACGTACACACCCAAAACAGCACCGTGGGGGTGTGTGTGTGTGGTGGGGCTCCTCGGGTATGTAAATGTGAAAGAAAAATTTAAAAAGGTGACATTAAATGATAACGGGGATATGTGGATAGAAGATCAGGATTGAAGGCCCTTTTCGAAGGATGTTTCGTTTCGTCTGCTAGTTTTTCTTTAGAGGGGGGCTTTGTGTAGCATGGACGTGTAAAAGTCTGGAGAAAAGGCCCATGGAGCCTACGCAAGCTTGAATTTACCAGATAATTTGGTGCTAAAATGCTGGCACGATGGGAGCAAGGATTGTGAAAATGAGACCTGAGAGAGCCTCCTGCTTCCCCATCAGTGCCAGCTCTGTGGGGCAGGCAGGGGCTGCCTGCAGCCCTGTGTTACGGGAGGAACTAGAGCAGGTGGCCTGGTGCAGGCGGAGAGTGTGCCGTGATCGATTCGTCACGTCTGTCGTGACGCAAGGGGCACAGGGCTGTGGCACAGGTGTCTGTCCTGCCCTCGCCCAGGTCCCGGAGGGAGAGGGCCTCCGATGGCTTTGCACATTCAGGTTTTTAAACGGTGTGGAAAGAATCTGGGGCTAGAAGGAGCATCAGTGATGAGCTCTGAGCGCCTGACCTGCCGGCTCCCTGGCCTGAGGTGTGAGGGGTGCCTCGGCAGGGCATGGTGCCCCAGGAGGGGGTTGGCTCCCGGCTCTCGGATGCTCTCTTCTGAACGGCACTGCCTTCAGCACGGGCGGCAGTCTTGCTGCCCAAGCGGGAAGTAGCTCAGAAAGGAAAATAGCCGCAGGGGGTTAGGGAGCAGCTGCCAGACGAGTCTCCTCCTGCCCAGAGTAGTGAGGCCCTGGCTGTCAGCCGCACCTCCTCGTGGTGCCGCCAGAGACAGGAACCAGGCCCGGGAGGGGCCGAGAAGTCAGCGGGAATGTCCCTGGCCAGAGGGGTGGCTCTTTAGGTGCTCTGCTGCCTGTCGCAGGTGCGCTACATGTCTTCGACCGATGCCAAGGTGGAACAGATGTTTCAGATCCTGCTGGACCCCCAGGAGAAAGGCACTGAGAAAAAGCAAAAGGTACTGGCCCTGGGCTGAGCCAGTGGGCCCAACTGCACTAGGGCTGCCTTCCACCGCGCCCTGCCCTGGGCTGACCTGGCCCAGGAGCCCTGCTAGTCTGCATGCACCACTCTTCGAGGCGCCGCCGGGTGGAGGGCCCCAGCAGCTTGGCCGAGGACTGGCACCTGAGTGTGAGCCCAGGAAGACCAGGTCTCCCTGAGTACCCTGTGCAGGAGCTGCGGGTGAGAGGCTACAGGGGACTCTCTACCTCTCAGGCCGGTTTACTCCGCCATCAACTCTAGAGCAGGCGCCTTCCCCTACTTACACAGGCGGCAAGGGAAGCTCAGAGAGGCCGCGTTGGTGGCCAAGGTGGCTCAGCCGCTGTGCGGAAGCAGTGAGGTCCAGAGTTCAGTGCCCCGCCCACCTGCCCGCGCCGTCTGCCCGTTAAGGTGTGCTGCTTCCGGCACAGGCTTCTCAGAACCTGGTGGTGCTGGCCCGGGAGGATGCCGGGGCTGAGAAGATCTTCCGGAGCAACGGGGTACAGCTCTTGCAGCGCCTGCTGGACACAGGGGAGCCTGACCTGATGCTGGCCGCCCTGCGCACCCTGGTCGGCATTTGCTCGGAGCACCAGTCTCGGGTAGGTGGGGGTGGGGGTCTCCTTAGGGCCTCGGTGCATCCGTCCATCTGTTCACGTGTCCATCCACCCCTCGTCTTATTCTAAAAGGAAGGTGAGGCTGAGAGAGTCTTGGGAGACACCCAGCGAGAGGGAAAATTGCAGCATCTCAGGAAAGGCCAACGTGATTTGGGATGAACAGGGCCCAGGAGAGCAGAAACTGCCCCGGGCCAGGGTTGGGTTTCACATGGTAAAAGCCCGGGCACCTCTCTACCCCCGGAAGTGCCTTGGCGGGAGTGAGTGGCCAGTGACTCACCCACCGCCGGGACACTGACCGCCGAGAAGGGCCTGGCCCTGGGAGCTCGTGGGCGGGCTCGGTGCTGGCCCAGGCAGTGGGTGGGCTCCGAGCCCAGTGGAGCCAGCCTGGGCCAGGACAGGGACTTGCCCCATGGCACCCCCCCGCCCCCTGCTGTCCTGGGCACACTGCATGCTCCCACTGGGCCTTTTGGGCTTTCCACATTAGAAATGGGGGCAAGCCTTGGGGGCAGCCTTGTGCCCGTGCCTTGACAGCACCTGCAGGCTGGTGTCAGGGAGGGCCCGGGTAGACGAGGCTTGTCCCGGGGTACGTGTCTTCTCCTGGGGAGTTGGCAGCCAAACAGCTGCTCTCGGGGCCGCAGTTCTCCTCGGCTCTGTTAGGCACCAAGGGGGCAAGAAGCAGTGGGTGTTCTTCCAGAATCTTCTGGAATTCTTTCGAGCAAGGGGTACCTGTTGTCTCCTGGAACAGGCCCACTGTTCTCGCAGGCAGCTGCTTCCTCCACTCAGGTGGTGTTTCCCGACCACACTCGAGTCCCCGTCTCCGCGGCCGCCCTTTGCTAACCCAGAGCCTGTCCACTCCCCCACCAGACGGTGGCCACGCTGAGCGTGCTGGGAACCCGGCGAGTGGTCTCCATCCTGGGCGTGGAAAGCCCTGCTGTGTCCCTGGCTGCCTGCCACCTACTGCAGGTGATATTTGACGCCCTCAAGGAAGGCGTCAGGAAAGGCTTCCATGGCAAAGAAGGCGCCATCATCGTGGGTGAGTGGTCCCCTGGGTGCCACTGTTAGGGAGCAGGAGAGGCTGAGCGGGCCGGCGCGTTCTCTCAAGGCCAGGCTTGCGGTGGGGGTTGTTCGGGAACAGGACTTGGTGACAGTGTTTTACTGGTGTCTTCGGGGTTGGTTGAGGCCTGCTCAGAGCCAGGATGTGGGCCCCTGCCCCCCATGTCTCTGGTTTGTTTCCCCCACATGGGAGAAGTTCAGGGTTGGCCCGTGCCGGACCGCGGAGCCCAGAGTGCCGTCTCGTTGCCAGACCCTGCCCGGGAGCTGAAGGTCCTCATCAGCAACCTCTTGGAGCTCTTGACCGAGGTGGGGGTTTCAGGACAAGGCCGAGACAATGCCCTGACCCTCCTGATTAAAGTGGTGCCCCGGAAGTCTCCTAAGGACCCCGACAACAGCCTCACCCTCTGGGTTATTGACCAAGGTAGGCGACGGCACCCAAAGTCAGAGAGGGATGAGTGTCCGCGGCCGGCTCATCCCCGGCGTGACCGCCCTGCTGTCCCCACACTGAACCCCACCTGAGCCTGTGGTCCCCTTGGGGGACGTAGAGTTAAACCTTCAGCCATGGCCGAGAGCTGGGCGGGGGGTTTGGCTTCTGCTCTCAGGGGATGAGCACTTGGCATTTGCCACAGCAGCCCCGGGAGTGGCCTCTCGCCCCAGGTCATCCCTCTGTGACTGTGAGGAGGCAGCCCAGTGGCCTTAGGGAGCCACGCTGTCGGGGGCCGGCTTTCACTAACCATGGTCTGGCTTGAAACCCTGCTTCCCCGGAGCCCGTGAAGGCGCGAAGTGAGGCCTGGCCATAAATCTCCCCTCCCCACCCCCCAGATGCTCCACGCGAGCACAGGGCGGCGCTCTCACCTCTTGTGGCCCAGCAGTCCCGCAGGCACAGGCGCGGTCCCCGCTCAGCTTGACCCTGAGGAGCCCCTGCCCCTGTGTGTGTGGCTCCCCCCCGACCCCCACAGCCGCTGCGTGCACTCTGCCGCCTCTCAGGACGGAGCCCGCATTCTGCCGTCTAAGTGGGGTGTTTTTTCAGGCCTGAGGAAGATCCTGGAGGTGGGGGGTGCAGTGCAGGACCCCCCCGGGGAGCTCTCGGTGACCGCCGACAGCCGCATGAGTGCCTCCATCCTCCTGAGCAAGCTCTTTGACGACCTGAAGTGCGACGCCGAGAGGGAGAATTTCCATCGGCTCTGTGAGAACTACATCAGGTGAGGCCGTCCCTCCGCCCTGGGGCGTCAGCAGGAGGGGCTGGGGGCCGGAGGGCCAGGGGCCATGTCTCCTTCCAAAGCGACCTCCTAGGTGTTCTGTCGTTTCGGTGCCTCCCGGGCGCCATCAGCCCACCTGGCCTGTCCCAGGCCCTCACCCTGTGCCTGCCCAGCACGGTAGGGACCCCCCAGGGCCTCCCCATACAGACTCACAGCTGGTGGCAAATTAGGACACGGACAGAACAACTTCCGGTTGTAATAGGCACAGGGAGGCGCAACGCTGCGGTGAGACTGCGACCCTGCGTCTGCCCGTCGCTCAGGGGAGCCTCCGATCAAGGCCGACTCCCCCAGCCTGCTCTGGCCCACGCAGTGCAGACGCCGAGCCCGTGCGGGGCCAGGGGGGAGTCCCTCTATGCCGGCCTCGGTGTGATGCTGTCACCCTGTGCCCTCCAGGAGCTGGTTTGAGGGCCGCGGGCTGGCCGGGAAGCTGCGGGCCATCCAGACGGTGTCCTGCCTCCTGCAGGGCCCGTGCGAAGCCGGCAACCGGGCCCTGGAGCTGAGCGGCGTCATGGAGAGCGTGATCGCGCTGTGTGCCTCCCAGCAGGAGGAGCAGCAGCTGGTGGCCGTGGAGGCCCTGATCCACGCAGCCGGCAAGGCCAAGCGGGCCTCCTTCATCACCGCCAACGGCGTCTCGCTGCTCAAGGACCTGTACAAGCGCAGCGAGAAGGACAGCATCCGCATCCGGGCGCTGGTGGTGAGCGGCGGGGGGCGTGCCGGCACGCGCTGTCGGCGGAGGCGCGGGGGGCGCACGTCTCCCCTGCGGGCCTCAGGCCAGTGCACAGAGGAGGCAGAGCGCGGGGCTACACGCGCCCCTGAGTGGGGGGAGATCGCGGGGTGGGGTGAGGAAGGGTGGGCCGGATATCCAGGCCAGGCTGGGCTGTGGAAAGGCCATGCCTGCAGGAGCCTGGAGCCGGTGCCTTGGGGGGACCCCCGGCCCTGTGAACCTGCTGTCGGCTGGCTCCTCGGGGATGCCGCTGCTCTGTGGGGCGCTGAGGCCTGGGCTTCTCCGTGGCCTGTAGGCCCGTGGCTCGGGCGGAGGCACCCATCCTGTCCCTCACACCATGGCTCTGTTGGTGGAGAGCTTTACTGGGTGACGGGGAGCAGAGCGGAGCCTGTCGGGGTGCAGGTGGGGAGGGCGGGAGCAGGACGGCACCATGGCTGGGCACCATCTCTGCCGGCTGCCAGGACACGTGGCCATGCTCTGGGGAAGGTGGCGGGGGAGCCCAGTGCAGCCGCCCTGCTGAGGCCAGCAGCCAGCCGCGTCGTCTCTTCCTCAGGGGCTCTGTAAGCTCGGCTCGGCTGGAGGGACCGACTTCAGCATGAAGCAGTTTGCTGAGGGTTCCACCCTCAAACTGGCCAAGCAGTGTCGAAAGTAAGTCTCCCGGGCTCGTCAGCTCCCCTTGTGAGCGGGTCTGGTGGAGACGGGGGTCTGCCCGCTACCCTCCCCTGCCACCCTCATCCTGTCCTGTGATGTCCAGGGGAGGCCCGAGCCCCTGGCAGAAGCCTTCCTGCCCCAGTCCTGATGGCCGCCCCCACCCCGCATGTCCCCAGGTGGCTGTGCAATGACCAGATCGACGCGGGCACGCGGCGCTGGGCAGTGGAAGGCCTGGCCTACCTCACCTTCGATGCCGACGTGAAGGAAGAGTTTGTGGAGGATGAGGCTGCCCTGAAGGCTCTGTTCCAGCTCAGCAGGGTAGCGCCGCGCGGGTGGGGACACTGTCTAGAATTGAGCTGGCTTTTCTTGGCACACTTCGGCCAGTGGCTCCTGGCGTCCAGGGAGGGCAGGCAGGAGGGAGGGCAGGCAGCTGGAGTGGCACCAGCGGCGTCGGGGAGGCTGATCTCTTCGGGAAGCTGGGTTGGTCGCGTGTGTGAGCTCCTGAGGGCTTGGCGGGGGTTGGCAGGGGAGACCTGGGACCTGGCCGCCTTCATCCACGCCACCCTGCCCTGCAGTCTGAGGAGCGGTCAGTGCTCTTTGCCGTGGCCTCGGCGTTGGTCAACTGTACCAACAGCTACGACTACGAGGAGCCCGACCCCAAGATGGTGGAGCTGGCCAAGTACGCCAAGCAGCACGTCCCCGAACAGCACCCCAAGGTGAGGGGCCACCGGTGGGGGCTTCTGGGTCTCCCTTCACTAGGACCGGCTGACCCAGGGCCGTCCCGGCAGCAGGCCTGACCCTTTGTCCCCAGCGGGTCCCCGCCCCATCAGGCCAGCTGAGGCCCCTCCGCTCGGCTGTCTCCTTCCCCAGGACAAACCGAGTTTCGTGCGTGCTCGGGTGAAGAAGCTGCTGGCGGCAGGCGTGGTGTCAGCCTTGACCTGCATGGTGAAGACCGAGAGCCCGGTGCTGACCAGTTCCTGCAGGGAGCTGCTCTCCAGGTGCGCCGCTGCGCAGTGCCCAACCCTGCCCTTCCAGGCCTCGCGCCGCGGTGGGGCCATGGGAGCAGGTCCTGGCGTGGCCGGGAGCGGGGGGTCCCCACTGGGCTGCCATTGAGGTGTCTGCCGGCGGCCAGGCTGCCCACCCCGCCACCACTGCCTTCTCCCCGCAGGGTCTTCCTGGCTCTGGTGGAAGAGGTCGAGGACCGTGGCACTGTGGTCGCTCAGGGTGGGGGCAAGGTGAGCTGGCGTGGAGGGCCCCGGGGGGCCAGAGGGCAGGACTCAGCAGCTGTGAGACGAGACTAGTGCTGGATGTGGGACAGCCCCAGCGGCCTCCTGCCGAGTGGGGGGAAGCTGAGGAGGGTGGCCCTTGGGCCCCAAAGTCCTGCCTAGTCACGCCCTGCCCTCTCCTTCCCCTGTCGAGCCCACAGCCCCAGGGCCCAGCACAGTCCAGGCCGGGCCCTCAACAGGTGCTTTGGGAAGGTCTGGGTGGCTTAATGGGGGACGTCAGCGAGGAGGCTGGCCATGAGCGGCTGTGCCAGGCCCGGCGGGAGGAGGGGCGAGGTCAGCACCACGCTCAGGCTCAGACCTGATGTTGACAGGCCTGTCTCCTCAGGCTCTGCTCCCGCTGGCCCTGGAGGGCACCGAAGTGGGGCAGACCAAGGCTGCCCAGGCCCTTGCCAAGCTCACCATCACCTCCAACCCGGAGATGACCTTTCCTGGCGAGCGGGTGCGTGTCTCCCTGCCCTCCCCCTCCTCCCCAGGCTGTGCTCCTTGGGCCCACAGGACTGGCAGCTTTGCTGAACCCCAGGGCGGGGTACCGGGTGGAGTGGGACTCCTACTGGTGGGCTGGTGAGGGGCATGGCTTTTTCTGGGGGGACTCCCACCAGTGGGGTCTGTGGGAGCAGGGCAAGCAGCCTGATGGGGTTCGTGTCTCAGATCTATGAAGTGGTCCGGCCCCTGGTCTCCCTGCTACACCTCAACTGCTCGGGCCTGCAGAACTTCGAGGCGCTCATGGCGCTGACTAACCTGGCGGGGATCAGCGAGCGGCTCCGGTGAGGCCTGGGGTGTGGGGCCTGGGCAGGGCACACACCCGCTCGAGCACCTAGTCAGGGAAGCGCTCCTGGCTCACTTGCCTCTGTGGGCGTCACCGTGGCGCCCATGGGTCTCAGAGGTGGGAGAGGGCGCTGGAGGCCTGGCCCCGCTGGCTACCAGCCCGTCACCTGGAGCCGGTGACCAAGCCACTCAGCCCGTTTCCTCCTCCGAAGCAGGCTGGTCACAGTACCTGCCTCGCGGGGTAGTGCTGAGGAGACTCAGACGAGAAAGCTCCTGTAGAGGCACTTGGCACACAGTGCTGGCTCCCTGCACGCGCCAGGCTAACCCCGTCCGCCGTCAGGACCGATCATGACGGCGAACGCATTACGTCCTATCGGCCTGCTGCTTTTTCTGCAGAGCAGTCAGGATGGTCTCCCCTGCGCCTCCCCTGTCGTGAGGGTTACGAGAGTCCAGGGCGGGCGGGGCGTGGGCCCAGGGTTAGCACTGCCGTCGCCCCAGCCCCCTAACTCCCAGTTTTGAGGAATTTGTTGCCTGAGGCCTGGTTAGATGTGTGGAAAGCACCGCAGCCTGTGCCTAGACCTCGGTGCACGTCACCCAGGAAAGCCCTTGGGCTTGGTGGTGTGGGGGCCCAGGACTGGGGTGGTGGCTCTGATGAGGCCCCTGGGCCCCGCAGGCAGAAGATCCTGAAGGAGAAGGCTGTGCCCATGATCGAGGGCTACATGTTCGAGGAGCACGAGCTGATCCGCCGCGCGGCCACGGAGTGCATGAGTAACCTGGCCGTGAGCAAGGAGGTGGGTGTCGGCCCGGGCGGCCAGCGCGTGGAGACCCTGGGCCGCCGGCTCTGGCCAGCTGACGCCGCCGCGTCTGCTCGCAGGTGCAGGACCTCTTCGAAGCCCCGGGCAACGACCGGCTGAAGCTGCTGGTGCTGTACAGCGGAGAGGACGACGAGCTGCTGCGGCGGGCGGCGGCCGGGGGCCTGGCCATGCTCACCTCCATGCGGCCCTCGCTCTGCAGCCGCATTCCCCAAGTGGTCAGTGCCTCTGGGTGGGGCGGGGACCTGGGGCAGGCGCCCCAGCAGGGTGGCGGCTGGTGTGGGTCTGAGGTCTGGGGGCGAGTTCCCCGCAGGCTCCCGCCTGCTGCCTGGCGGTCACGGGCCCTGTTCCCACAGACCGCGCACTGGCTGGAGATCCTGCAGGCCCTGCTGCTGAGCCCCAGCCCCGAGCTGCGGCACCGGGGTGCCGTGGTGGTGCTGAACATGGTGGAGGCCTCGCCCGAGGTGGCCGGCGCCCTGATGCAGAGCGAGGTGCTGGAGATCCTGTCGGTGCTGGCCAAGGGCGAGGACGGCCCGGCGGCCGGAGCGGCGGCCGCCTGCCTGGGGAGAGCGGTGCAGTACGGGCTCATCGCGCCCCGCCGCGGCGGACCGTGAGCGGCCGCGAGTGTGGACGGTGCAGCTTTGGCCACAGGCTGGACGCTGAGCACGAGGCCCCCCAGCCGCCCTGGGCGCGGCCCGCGAGGGGACGCCGGACACGCCGGACACGCCGCTCTGCCCGCACCGCCCCGGCCCCGGCTGCCCGCGGGCCGCCCCCCCGCCCCGATAAAACAATAAAAGTGTGTGCACCGAGCGCGCCTCCGGGGCGGGGAGGCGGGTGCGCCGAGCCCGGGAGCCCCGGGCCCCCCCCCCCCCCCCCGGCACCGCCCCCCCCGCGGCGGCAGCAGCAGCGCCGCTTCCAGGCGGGGCCCCGCGGCCCCCAGGACGGAGCGATCCGGTCGGCCGGGCTCGGAGGACTGGGGGGGGCGGCTGGTCGCGCGCGCGCCTCGGCCCTCCCGTCCGTGCGCGGGGGGTGGGGGCGGGGCCGGGGCTGGGGGGGCCTGCGGGCGCCCGGCGCCTCCCCACCCGCGGGGCGGGTCCTCTCGAGCCGCTTCCGCTCGACGGGCTGAGCCGCTCTGCGAGCCCATTGGCCCAGAGGCGGTGAGTGGCAGGCCGCGAGCCAATGGGGGGCGGGCCCGGGGCCGCCCGTCCAGCCCGCGCCCCGCGGAGGCCCCGACCGCGCGAGGCCGCCGGGGCGGGCGCCGGGGGGAACCGGGGGGGCCGGGGAGGGTCCGCCGCGCGCCGGCCGGGCCCGGGGCGGGGGGCGCGGGGGCCCCGCGGGTGGACTCGTGCCCCGGGCTCGGGGGGGCCTCGCGGCGGGGCCGCTTTCCGGGGCCTCCGCCGCCCGGGCGCGGGGGGGGCCCCGCCCGGCGCCTGGGGCCCCGCCCCCCCGCGCTGAGGCCAGGCCCGCCCCCCGCCCCGCAGCCCCCGCGGCCATGGCGGCCGAGCGCCCCGCGGCCTGGTTCGGCTTCGGGTTCTGCGGCTTCGGGCAGGCGCCGGGCCCGGGCGCGGGCTGCGGGTGCTGCGGCCGGAGGCGCTGCGGGGCCCGGGCGCCGACGCCCTCCGCGTGCGCGCCAGCTGGAGCTACACCGCGCTGCTGACGCGTGAGCGCCCCGGAACCCCCGCGCCCCCGCCCCGCGCTCCCCGGGCCCCCCGGCCCCCCACCTCCCCCGCCCCGCCCCGCGCTCCCCGGGCCCCCCGTACCCCCCCTCCCCCCCGCCCGGCCCCCGCCCAGCGCGCTCTCCCCGCAGGCGCCGGCCGCCTGGAGCTGTCGGGCGCGGCGGGCGGCGGGGCCGGGGGCTGCCGCGACGCGTGGGCCGCGGAGGCGCTGCTCGTGCTGCTGCGCGCGCCGGCGGGCCCCGGGCGCGGGCCGGAGCTGCAGGCCTGGGCGCCCGGGCGCGCGCTGCGCGGGGCGCCCCTGTGGGCGCGGGCGCTGCGCCCCGAGGGCGGCGCGGGCCGGGCCGGGCCGCCCCCGCTGCCGCTGCTGCCCGGCGCGCACCTGAGCCCGCGCCCGCCCTTCTGCCGCGCGCTGGCCCCGGGGCTGCGGGCGCTGCGGCTGGAGCTGGGCGCGGAGCACGCGCTGCTGCTGGGCGCGGGGGGCCGCGTGTTCGCCTGGGGCGCCGGCCGGTGAGTGGGGCGGGGGGCGGGGGGGCGGGCGGGGGCGCGGACCGGGACCGGGACCGACCCCCCGCCCCCGCAGGCTCGGCCAGCTGGGCCACGGGGCGCTGGAGGCCGCGCGCGAGCCCCGGGCCGTGGAGGCGCTGCAGGGGCTGCCCGTGGCGCGCGTGGCGGCGGGCGGCTGGCACTCGGCGTGCGTGAGCGGTGAGCGCCCCCCGCCCGCCCGGGCCCGGGGGGGGGGGTGCGGGGAGCCCCCGGGGACCGGCGGGGGGGGCGCGGGGACCGGCTGCTGCCCCCGGGGGCGGGCGGGGCGGGGAGCGGCGCCCCGAGCCGGGGCCCGGGCCGTGGGGGTGGCTGCAGGGGCCTCGGATGAGGGGTCCTCGGCGTGGCGTGAACCCCACTTCTCCCTCCCAGAGGCCGGGGACGTTTACGTCTGGGGCTGGAACGAGTCGGGGCAGCTGGCCCTGCCCGCCCGGAGCCTGGGGCCGCGCGGCGAGGCCCCGGCGGGGGCAGGTGAGGGCCCCCCCCCCCCCCCCCCGTCCCGCGCCCCCGGGGGCCGGCCGGGCGCTCTGGGGGGGCCGTCCTGCGGGCGCGGGGCCCATCGGGAGCAGCGGGGCGCCCCACCCCGCGGCAGCTCTGGGGCGCGCGGTCAGAGGGGCAGCCCGGCCGGCGTCACCCGCCCTCACCCCCGCCCCGCCCCGCAGCCCCCGGCCCCGGCGGAGACGCCCCCCGGGGGAGAGCGCGGCGGGGCCCGGAGCCCCCTTCGTAGCGGTGCAGCCCTTCCCCGCGCTCCTGGACCTGCCCCTGGACGCCGAGGCCGCCGAGGTCAGCTGCGGGTCCCGGCACACGGCGGTGGTGACGCGTGAGTGGCCGGGGCGCTCCCCGCTCGGGCCGGGGCTGCAGGGAAGGGTGGGGGCCCCGAGACGAGCCGCTTTTTTGCGTAGAGCCGGGGTGCAGGCCAGAGAGGGGGGCGAGGAGGCTCCAGAGGCAGAGCGGGGAGCAGGGCGGGCGGAGGGACTGAGGACGCTGCTGGGGGAGCCGCGGGGAGGCCGGGGGTCTGCTGCGCCCCGTGGGCGGCTCCCTGGCGGGGGATGACCCCAGGCACCTGGGACGGGGCGCCCGACGTGTGGCTTCTAGGGGGCCCGAGAGGCACCAGCTGCTCCGCGTCCGCTGCGGGCGCCGGGTGGCTTCTCGGTCCTGGAGGCCCCCCTGTGCGGGGGGGGGTGCTCGGCCTCCGCCCACCCGCGCCTGGGCAGCCTCCTGCCCCCCGGCCGCGGGGAGCGGGGAGGCGATTCCCGGCGCGCCCCTCGGAAGCGGCGGCCTGCGGGGCGGCCCTCACCGCGCTCTCGCTTGCAGGCGCCGGCGAGCTGTACGCCTGGGGCTGGGGTGAGTGGGGCGCGGGGCGCGGGGCGGGCGGCGTGGCGGGGCGGGCCGGCCGGGGCCTCGTCGGGCTCCGGGCAGGGGAAAGGGGGCGGGGACCCCTCTGGGCCCGGGAGGCGCCGCGCGGGGGTGGCTGCGGTCTCCTCCCCGGAGGGGCGCCCGGCCCGGCCGGCAGCGGCCGATGAGGCGCCTCAGGCTGAGAGGAGTCGGCGTCGAGGACCCGGAGCCGCGCTTCGGGGAGGCCAGGCCTGAGCGGGGCGTTGTCGGGGCAGCAGGCGCCGAGCGGCTCGTGGCTTCCCGCGGCCGGCGCCGATCCGCCCCGTGGGGGGGGGGCGTCTTCTGCGCCGGGGGTCGCTGCCTCGCCTCGTACCCGTCGCCGCCGCCGCCTTGCTCGTCGCTGTCGCGGTGGTCGCGGCAGCTCCGCTTCTTGTGACGCGCCGCCCGTGCGCGAGCGTCAAGGCCCTGAAAGCCGAGGCGCAGGCCGGGGTCGCCGCCGATCTGCCGCCCCGGCGTAGCGACGCCTCGTTGCGCTTGGCCTCGGGCCTGAGCACGGACGCGCCGTGAGCAGCAGCCAACGGCCTTTTTAGGTCGGGAAAAGGAGACTCTGGAGAGACGGTGGCGGCAGAGCGAAGTTTGGGGGCCTTGAGGGGGCGGGAGAAGGGCCGCGGGGTCAGCCCTTCCACCATCTTCGTGGCGGCTTCTGGGGTCGTTGCCTCCTGGCGGGCACCGGCCTCTCCAAGCCGCAGGGAGTTTGCTGTTCGCCCCGCCGGGCCTCAGGGACCGTGGCCACAGCCGCGAGCCCCGGGGGTCACTGCAGGGGGAGGCGCAGCCGCCAGGCCTGTCTCCCCGCAGGCAAATACGGCCAGCTGGGCCTCGGGACACGGCCAGCCGCGACCGGCCCTGCCGCGTGGACTACTTCGCCGACAACCACCTGCGGGTGCGCGCCGTGCACTGCGGGCCCTGGAACACCTACGTGTGCGCCGCGGGCGCGCAGAGCTGACGGGTGAGTGGCCTGGCCAGGTCGGGGCGCCTGCCTTCCCGCAGCCCCGCCTCCCCCCGCACCTCGGGCCAGCGCCCGTGGAGCAGACGGGAGGGTGCAGAACCCCAGGCGCGGGGTGCAGCTCCCGTGAGCCCCGCCCGCCCGTCCTCAAGCCTGGCCCCGGGGGAGGGACTCGGCGGCCCAGGAGCCCGCGGGGTGGACACTCTTCCCGCCCGAGCGCGCTGTGGGGCGCTGGCTGCTCTGAGCCGTCTGCGGGGGGCAGGGGCACCCTGGCTCTTTGTGGGGCGCGGGCTCAGCCGGCGTCTCCCCTGCACCCCGAGCAGCGGCGTCTGGCGTTTGCGCCTCCAGCACCGGCCGCGCGTTCGGGTCCGTCGAGGCTTTTCAGGCTCCCGGGGAGCTTGAGGGTGTCAGCGCCCCCCACATTCCCCTCCGCGGCGCGGGCGGGCTCGGCCTGGTCTGGGCAGCGCTGCTGTCCCTCGTGGCCGGCGTGGGGGGCAGGGCGCGCCCCCACCACCGCCCGGACCGGTTCTCGCCCCGCTTTGCGGCCTGAGGTTCAGGGCGCGGCTCCCTCTGCAGCCCTCCCGCTGCAGTGCCACACTCACGCCCGCCTCCCCCCGCGGTTCCACACTCATTCACACACACCTCCCCAGCTGCAGCTACACACTCACTCACACACACCTTTCTAGCTGTAGTTACACACACATCCCTCCCCAGCTGAAGTTACAGACGTGCACACTGACACGACTCCCCTCCCTCCCCCCAGACGCACACACGCGCCTTCCCAGCTGCGGTCTCACACACACACACACACACACACACGCACACACACGCCTCTCCTCACGCCCCTTCCTTCCCCATCCCCCTCCCCACCGCCCCCTGCCCAGCGTAATCTCTCCCCCAGGAGCTGGCCGCGCCCCCGCCCCCTGCTCGTCTGTCTCTGGACCGTGTGGTCTGCACGTGCCGCGTTGGTCGGCGTCTTGTCTGACGAGGTTGTCCCGACCTCCCGTGCCCGGGCTTCCGTCGTGGAGTCTTGGGAGAGTCCGTTACCTTTGCTGGTCATGTGATTTGCAGATATTTTCTCCCCGTTGGCAGCTACTCGATTTATTTTTTCTATCTATGCACACGAGAACTGGGGTGCAGGCCAGAGCTACGGGGGGTCGGGTGAAAGGACTCACCAGAGACAGGGCGGGGGGCAGAACAGGCGGATCTACCGAAGCCCACTGCGGAGGGGCGCAGCGGGGAGACAGGAGGGGCCTGCTGCGCCCTGGGGGCCGCTCCCTGGCCGGGGGTCCGCACGACGGCCTGAGACTCGAGCCCTGGGCCGCCAGGAGGCTTCAGCCTGTGTGACGGTCTCTTTCTCGGAATGAAAGGTTTAAAATTCGTTAAAATCTCAGCGCTCTGTTCCTCCAGAGGTCGCGCTGCTGATGTCCGTGCAGGGGCGCTCTGCTCGGTCCGACGCCATCCGTGTTTCCTTCTGACAGTTGTCGCTCCGGTGTATTCTGAGGTCACTTAGGCCTGGAGCGGGGCAGAGGCCACAGTCCCTCCCTTTTTTTGAGTAAGCGACCGTCCAGTGTCCCCCACCGCTCGCTGGAAACACTGTCCCGACTGGCCTCCGCGCTTGTCCGCACCCCCTCCCCCCCCGCCACGTCTGTGGGCCTCTGGGACTGGCCGGCCTCGCGCCGGTCAACGCCCGAGTCTCGCCCTCCACGTTGGTTCTCTCCAGACTCGGCTGCTCTAGCCTCTTTGCTCTTCCACATGCATCTCGGGGTCAGCTTTGCGCTTCCCACGCGCCTGCCGGGCACTGATGTGTTCGCATTTGCCCTCTAGATCCGGACACGTCACGTCCCACATGTCGAGGCTCCCGTCCGAGGACGCAGCGTCTGCCCGTCCGGCCCCTCTCGTCGGCAGGATGCCGGGCGGTGAAGCGGATGCACGGGCACGTTTTGGGCATGTTGCAAATTTCGGCTGCCCGTTGCTGGCGGCCGGCGTGTGGAGAGAAGGCTGGTGTTTGTGCGTCGCCCTCGTGTCGTGTGCTCTTTCCAAACTTGTTCACGGAGGCTTTTTTGTCGGTTCCCGGGGAAGCTGCGCTTTGTGTTAATAAAATACGGATCCCACGTGTAGATGAGGTCGCAGCGTTTGTCCTTCTCTGTTCATTTCACCTGATGCCCTCAAGCCCCGTCCGTGTCGTTGCAGACGGCGGCCGTCTCGTCAGCGGCGGAGTGGTGCTCCGTCGTGTGCGGTCGAGTCACTTCACGTTTGGGTCAAGAGGGATCACGTGTCATTGTCTAAAAATAAAAGTCGGGCCTCCCCAGTGGCGCAGCGGTTGAGCGCGGGGTTGCGAAGCTGCCCGCAGCCTCTGCAGCGCTGGTTCTATTCCCGGCTGCTCCCCGGCCACCGGAGGAGGGTCCCACCTCGGTCCCTCTGCCTGCTCTGCTCCCCGCTCTGGCTCTGGGGAATCCTCTCACCCTCCCGCGCTTCTGACTGTGCCCAGTGCTTGTGTAAATACATGAATCTTTAAAAAATAAATAAAAATAAAAGTCATTGCTTAAGAAATCAAGGACCACATTTGTGACCGCGGTCCCCACGGGCAGCGCCCGCCGGCCTAGTGAGCGCTATCACGGTGACGGAACCACTGGGAACGCGCCCCAGAGCGCCCTCCCGGCTCTGTGCAGTCTATGCAGCTCTACCACCCGTATTTCTTTTTTTAATTTTTTAAGGATTGATTTATTTACGCACACAAGAGCTGGGGTACAGGCCAGAGGTGCGGGGGGAGAGGATTCCCCAGAGAGAGTGGGGAGTAGAACAGGCAGATCCACTGAAACCCACTGCTGAGGGGAGCAGCAGGGCGGCAGGAGGGGTCTGCTGCACCGTGTGGGTAGCTCCCTGGCTGGGGATCGAACGCAGGCCGCAGTGGCTGCCGATAGCCGTATAGTCTTGGGACAACCAACCCCCGCGCCGCCAGGGAGGCCCAACCATCCGTATTTTACTAATGTTCTTATTGAACTGTATGTGCTCTTTGTTGTACCGGGTTGTCAGACGCTATGACACGTTTTTTGCTTGAGGAACGTAGAAAAAACACGTCACGACCTTCCCGACAACCCGGTCTACTGCCTTACTAGGTGACTGGCCCCTCACCAGACAGAGCATCTGCACATCTCCTGTCCCACTGCCTTGCTTTGCTTTTGCTTTTGCTGTCAGGTCCAAAGACAGCCGCCAAGACCAGTGTGGGGCGCGGCCTGCCTGTCCTCGCCTGGGGGTGGTGTCTGTCTCTGTCAGGACGCCGGGCCCTGTCCCGCCACTCCCCTGGGGCCGTCGCCGCCGTCTTGCCTCCCGCACTGTAGGTTCCCGGGCCACCTGTTGCGTGTTTGTGCCCGAGCTCTGCACCCCTGGCCTGTTTCACGGGGCCCCCCGACTGCTTTGGTCCCCGTAGTTTGCAAGGTTGAGATGAGGGCGCGTCGCGCTTGGATGACTTCGGCTGCTGGGGGTCTTTGGTGGCTCCCTCCAGAGCCCCGCGCGGTTGTTCCCTCCGTGAGCGTCGCCGGGACCCCGGGCAGGCCCACGCCGGGGGGTGCGCCGCCCCCGCGCCGCGCCTTCTCCGCGAGCAGGTCTTCGGTTTTCATCAGCTTCTTGCTTTCAGCACCCAGGCCTTTCGCCCCCGGGGTTTGCTCCAGGTTTTCCTTTTGAGGCGGCTGCCGAGTGGGGTTCTTGTCATTCCTCTTTGCTAGCGTTTCCGGGTGTTGACTTTGTGCCCTGCAGCTTTACCCAGTTCGTTTATTCTAACTTTCTAAAGTCCTTCGGGTTTTCTGATCAGATCCTTCCAGAGAAGGATGGCCGAGGGAGGGATAGTCCCTGAAGCCGAGATGGGGTCTGTGACCTGCGCGCGGCACTGCCGGGAATGGTGTGGCCACGTCACGCTCAGCACACACCTGAGTGCACACGACCCCGCCACGGTTGCCCAGAGGAAAACGTGTCCCTCCCAAGACTCCTGCACACACCCCCCAGGCCGGCTTTCCTCCTAGGCAGCACCTGGAAGTCCAAGTGGCCGAGCACAGCAGGTGGGCGAGCTGTGGGTGCCCAGGGCAGCCTGGACACACGGACACTGACTCCATGGGTCACCCTCAACATCATAAGGAATAGGCAGAGAGCCAGATGTGTAGGACTCTTCTCACCTCTGTAAAGCGCAAACTCCTCTGGTGACGGGCAGCAGACCTGCCGGGGGTGGGGGGTGAGGAGGCAGGATTGCCGAGATGCAGGAAGCAGCTTTGGGGAGCGACGGAGTCATTCAGTGAGGTGACTGGTGGTGAGGGCCACATTTGTCAAAGTATGTGTCTTACTTTTTTTGAAAGATTTATTGATGCACGCAAGAGCTGGGGTGCAGGCCAGGGGTGTGGGGGTGAGAGGATTCACCAGCGACAGAGTGGGGAACAGAACAGGCAGACTGACCGAAATCCACTGCTGAGGGGAGCAGCGGGTGAGTCAGGAGGGGTCTGCTGTGCCATGTGGGTTGCTCCCTGGTCAGCCGGGGATCGAACTCGTGCTGCAGAGGCTGCGGACAGCGTCACAGTGCTGGGCTTAACCCCTCGCGCCACCAGGGAGGCCCCTGTCAAAGTCTGTCTAATGAAGGTGTTTGGGCCTCCCCGGTGGCACAAAAGGTGGAGACGCAACCTCTGAAGCTGTCCGCAGCCGCTGCAGCCCGAGTTCGATCCCCGGCCAGGGAGAACTACATGGCGCAGCAGACCTGGCTCCCCGCTGCTCCTCACAGCTATGTACTTCGGTCCGTCTGCCTGCTCTGCTCCCCACTGCGTCTCTGGTGATCCTCACACACACACCCCACCTCTGGCCTGTACCCCAGCTCTTGCGTACATAAGTAAATCTACTTTGTTCAGAAAGTCAGGCTGACTTGCCCTGTACGGTGTATTCCTTCAACTGTCCTTATATTACCTAGGGATGTTCTTAATTAAAAATGCACAAGAAAAATCACGTTCCTAACCACAAATGTCTTCTATGTCTTTTGGTCTTTCCTGTTTTTCAGACCAAACCAACCAAAAAGTGTTTTTGGGGAGAAAGAGAACCATCACATTGTGTCTTTAAATCGTAAGTATACACATATTTTATTTTTAGTATAATTTCAGAAACAGCCATGTAGGTGTATGACTTCCCGGTGCGCTGACCCTGGCTAGGTCCGCTCTGTGAGCTGCTAACCATTTCAGGTGCGGTGCAGGCAGAGGGAGAATAAATAGTGCTTCGGGGCGTGCAGCAGTAGTAGTGATCCACGGGGCTGGGGGGCAGTGTAGCAGGAACAACCCCCTATGCCATGTGCAAAGTTCCAGCTCTCCAGGCCAGAAACGCCCAGCCACACAGCCCCCCACTTGGCTGGCAGCCGCAGGGGGGACGTGGACTCGGCACAGGGACGAGGCTAGGCCCAGAGGCAGGTAACGCGTCCACCCGGCCCGCCAGGCCACCCCGTCACCCAGTGGCAGCAGGTCAGGCTGCGCCACTCTGACAGCCCCTCCTCGGGAGCGAGGCTTTCTGCGTGGGGACAGCCGCAGGTGGGAGCAAAGCTAACAGCATTACCTGAGCACCCATCACCAGGAAAGAGGCTAATTGCCAACTAACGCGTGCACAGGCCCAGACGACTTGCGGGCACCGTTGCTATTTCGTGCGCCGCGTGAGCTACAGCAAGCCCCGGGGTGTGCTTGAGCGAGTGGGTGGGGAGAGGCGCTCAGGTCCATATGCTACGATTTGCACTGACTGCTGTGAACTAAACATATTTCTGAGTCAAAATAAAAGCAAGTCTCCGAGGCCTCGTGAAGCCTGCGGTGGCATTTGCTCCACGCTAGGCCCATGGTAGTGACGCTGGTCCGGGGCTTCCAGCACAGCCACGTGAAGGAGGGCAGCCCCGCGCGGCCAGGCCCAGCCTAGGCCCAGGGAGCCGCAGCGGGCTCGGCACGGCTCCTCAGGACTGGATGTTGGTGGAATTGAGGATTCGTGACGTAGCGTCAGACTTGGAAGCCTTTGAAAGTTCCCGCTGTTGAAAAACAGACAACACGAGTGATGGGCCTGTCCCCTCAGGGCGCCTCCCTAGGTGTGGGTGTCAGCAGGAGTCCCGAGGGATGGCTCGTCTGAGACAGGCTGTCAGGGGCGGGTGTGGGCTCCGTTCTGTTAAAGGAAGCGCGTGCTCGCGGGCTCTGCCCCTCCCTCAGCCAGTCCACCGTCCCTTAGGTTTTCCGACTAGGGCAGCGCCTCCTAGCCGTCCAGTCCTCCGAGCTGTCAAGCTAGGTAGGCACAAGCTTTGAGGCCTTTTTAAACAATGGGCCAGCCCACATATCTACCAATCCCTGGGGCCGAGGGCCTTGTAACCTGCTGGTGATTTGACCTCATGCTGGAGCACATGGTAGAGAAGCAGAAAAGAAAAGGCAGGACCAGCTCTTGAGGAAGGTTAGTAAGGTGCACGTGCTGGCTGTGGCGCTGCCCAGGGGTGTCTACCTGCAAACCCATCCAGGTGAGCCTCCCTCGGCCTGGCGAGAGAGGTGCCAAGTGGAGGAAACAAGGCTTGGCTGGGCAGGTAATGAACAGCCGGGCCCTTTGCCCGCCGTCAGCCAGCCTGGGCGACAAGCACCCGCCGTGTCGGCAGAGCCACACCGGCCGTGTCACGTGGGAAAAGCGCCAGGACAGGAAGCCGGCCTCGGCACTCAGGCCAGGCGTGCAGCCCTGGCCGGCTGTCCCAGTGTCTGTCACTGCAGCAGTAAAAGTTGGCCCCTCGGCTTTAGCTCGACGCCAGCCAAGAGTAAAGGGCAGCCTCAGCTCGCAACAGGAAGCTCAACTGGCCCCTTGTTGCGGGGGTGGGGAGGGGGAGACACGTGTTGTCAAGTTAGAGGCCCTGCCGCTAAGTGTTAGGAAGCGGGGAGTAGGGCACGGGAGGCTCAAGAGCATTCTGGAAAGACTCCTTTCTTCTAGCGCCTCCGAGCTGCTCGAACAGCTCCGTGTAGTAGAAACAGGCCAGGCCCAGGACGTGAGCGCTGCAGCTTGAGCAGACAGGGCCCGCGCCAGCGGAGGGCGAGGAAGGCATATGCTCCAGGAAGGAGTCAGCACGCAGGCAGGAGCCTCGCTAGGGGCAGCACACAGCTGGGGCCCCTCCCGCGCCACGGGGGCCTCCGTTCTTCCCGGTACCCCGGAAGCCTCTGCTGTCACCACCAGGGAGGGCGAAGTGACATAGAAAAACACTTTGCCTGACTTTCAGTGGGGCTGAGAATCCAGTTCGAGTCTGAACCCGTTTCTTGTTCACCAGCAGGTTAGTCAGTCTCTTGTCGGATTAGCCAGGCATTACTCTAGAGGTGTGCTGGGGATCCCCGCCACCTGAGACAAAGGTTCCGCGGCAGCACCGCTGAGATGGGTGGTTAGCGCAGCCCGTGCAGACGGGAAGGAAGCCAGCAGGCGAGGCGTGTTCAGGAAGGGACATGCAGGGTCGCCATACAGACCTGAAGCCCAACAGTGGAGCTGTCAGAGAGGGATGGATCCTTCTAAGAACAGAGAATTGAGACAATTACCAAGAACTCCACCAGGAGAGCAGCAGGGCGTGGGCAGAGGGTCGCCTCCTGCAGCCAGGGAGAGGTATTCTTAAGCAGAAGGATCCAGGCTCAGTTTCTGCTTGCCGCTGCCAGCTCCTGCCTTCCTGCGTGGGGTGCCCCTGGCGCCTCCCCCACACTGGCCTCGGTCACGGCAGGAAAGGGATTCTCAGCCCCCAAGGACTGTCCTGACTCGCCTCGGCGCCCAGGGGCGACACCCGTGCTGCCCCAACTGTGTGCTCCCCAGGGACTGGTAGATATTAGAAAAGGTGAATTACCGCAAACTCAGAATAGGTGCTGGCAACAGAATTAATGCTGAAGTTGCGCTGGAGGGGGGCCGAGTTGGGGTACCCACCGCTCAGGATGCTGCCATTGAGCTCGAGGTTCTCCTTGTTGGCGCCGTGCCTACCGGCACGGGGGGTCTTTGTCACAGAGCAGGTGGAAGCGCCCGGCTGTGGAGGAAGAGCCGCGTGTGCACTGGGCAGAGGCTGCAGCGGGGCCCGGGGTTTCCGCGGTCTAAGTGCCTCAGAGACCCAACACTCAGCACCTGCGCGCCCCTCCTCCGAGTGCCCGGCCATGTCCAGTGACCCCGTGACCTCGCTCAGCGCCCACCGAGGCCCAGGCTTTGCGCTGCGCCCGTGTGACCCCAGGGCTTCCCACTACACGAGCAGGCCCGGAGAGCCCCCGCTGCAGGCTTGAAACTAGCGTCTCTCAGCAGCTGGAGGGTAACCCTAAGCGGGAGCAGAAGCCCCCCAACACAAAGGCCAGGCCACTCACCTTGCTGCCAGAGGGTGGAAGTCGCGACACCGGGGAACGGTAGATGGTGCCGCCGAAGGCAGGCCGAATGCTGCTGTTGGCCGTGGCGTTGGACAGGGTGGTCGTGTTCAGCTGGAAGGAGCAGGGAGGCGGCTGCTGGGCGAGGACACGGCCCAGCCCTCCACTGAGGCGTGAGCCCAGGCAGCAGCCCCGGGAGCGCCGGGACGACACGCACGAGCCTGCTGCTCCGCAGCGCCAGGGCTGCCCGGCGAGCGCTGCCCTTCTGGTTCCCACCTGCGCCGCAGCCGCCCTTCACCCCTAGGCACGAGCCCGAGGGAAATGGAAGCTCGAAGACGGCGCCGCAGTTACCCAGCACGGCCAGGACACCGACCGGCCAGCCAGGGACAGGCCGTGCGTCCGCGGAGGGGCCTGCTCACAGCGGGATGCTGCTGAGCCGTAGAAGCGAGCGGCCGCCTGAGCCTCTGACCCTGGCACCAGCAGATACACTCAGCACGCGCCGTGAAGGCCAGGCGAGGGGGGCGCACGCGAGGTTCCGTCACACGCCAGAACGTGCCACGCGCCACGATGACAGCGGCACTGGCTGCAGGAACTGGAAGGGGGGGGCGCTGGGGGCCCTTGCGGGTGAGGGAGATGGTCACCGTGTGGACTGAGGGGAGGCGTAAGCGTGACAGAATCATTCAAGGAGGCAGACGAGGCAGCACGACGCAGGCACCAGGGAGAAGAGCGCGCCGTGAAGGAACAGCGGTGTTCCCCGCGGCGGGGCCAGCTTTCCACCCGCCGGCTGATGCCACAAGGAGCAGGAGATGAGTTATCCAAGACCCAGACACTGGGCGGTCAGTGTGAAAGGGGGAGCATTTGGAACCCCCAAGAATTCCTCTAATCTGCTAGGAGATAAATGTCCTAACAGGAAGAGTCCCCAGAAAAGGACCTAGGAGGCCAGGGGACAGCAGAAGGCTCGGCCTCACGAGCATCCAGGGAATGCACACGAACGCCGGAAGCGCCTGCTCTGCGCCCCTCGAACACAGGTCGAGTCTGAAGGTACCAGAAGCCGGCAAGGGCGGAGCCACTGTGCTGGCCCCACAGCCATCAGGCATCAGACTGGAGGAGCAGCATGGCTGGCACCGAGGCCCCTGGAATGGCTGGCAAGTGTTCTCGGGGGTCCTCTTGGAGGCCATTACAAGTGACTTTTAAAACCTTCCCTAGAGGGGCCTCCCTGGTGGCGCAAGGGATTAGGACACAACTCATGAAGCTGTCCGCAGCCTCTGCAGCACGAGGTCGATCCCCCAGCCAGCCAGGGAGATTCCCACAGGGCACAGCAGACCTCTCCTGTCTCCTCGCTGCTCCCCTCAGCAGTGGATTTCATCGGTCTGCCTGCTCTGCTCCCCACTGTCTCTGGTGAGTCCTCTCACCCCGCTCATCTCTGGCCTGTACCCCAGCTCTTACAAGCATACATAAATCTTACGAAATAAAACCTCCCCTATGTCATAAAATACAAGCTGAGGCAGAAGAAGGGAATTAACACTCTGCTTCATCTGTCCAAGTCAGAAAATGGGGACCTAATGCCCCCCTTGAAGCACAAAAGTCACCTTTCACAGTCCTTGGGTGGAGCTGCAGCAGCCCTCGAGCCTCCGGGATTAGCTGCCGCCTGCCCCTCACCCTCAAGTGGCCTTCACGCCCCTGGGGAATCGCCTCTGGGGACACAGGGCAAGCGGTGGCCAAGAGGCCTGGTCTCAAGAGCCACTGCTGAACAGCGGCTCACGGAGCTGCACTTTACCTTACGCACTTTGCCGGGTGTGCTGGGCAGCAGTCCGCGGCGCTTGCTGGGTGTCCTGGGCGCGCTGCCGTAGAGCATCTCCGTCTCCGTCTGCTTCTTGTTCTTCAGTTGCTGTGTGAACAGCGGGCGCAATGCTGACCGGTCCCACAGGAGAGCGGGTCTGGGGTGGGGCCGGAACCCTGGGCCTAGAGCTAAGAAGGGCTGCGCTGGCCCCTGAGGCTCAGGGCCACACGCCTGGCTGTCCCGCCCTCTGCCCAGGTTGCGTTCACTTACTCTCTCCTGCTTGGCTCGTTCTTTCTCCAGCCGATGCAGCTCCCACTGCTCCGTCACGTACTCCATGAACTTCTGCCCATTCACCACAAACGCCTTCGAATGCTCCTGTTCCCACTTCTCAATCTGTGCCTTCAGCTCCTCCTCCAGCTGAGAGCAGAAGCAAGGCCGCACGTGAGGACAGATGAAAGGCTGCTCCCCCGCCCCGGGAGGGTCACTGGCTCAACTCCAGCCTGGACCCGGTGGCGACTCAGGGCGGAAATCGAAGCCGGGTCTGCTTCTGCTTCACACCACGGCGGGGAAAGGCGAGGGCCGTGAGTCCGACACGAAGGTTTTGGTGCCCACAGTCAGGGCAGCCCCAGGGAGGACAGCAAAGCCAGACGGGCGCGTGCAGCGGCAGCAGCGCCCCCGGCCCGACCTGCGGTTCCAGTTCCCACAGTGGCGGTGGCGAAGAAGCAGCCAGGCCTTTCCGGCTCCTCGCTTGCCTCGACTCTGAGGCTCTCGGAACGACGTGGAAGCCGCAAGGTGGGACAGCGCCTTGAATGGCGCAGAACTCAGCACGTGCCACTCAGTAGAAAAGGCCTGAAGCCCTCAACACTTTAAGAAGTTTTCCTTTGTTACTGGCTCAACTCTGGCCTCCTCCCACGCCCCTACCCGAAGTCGGGGTGAAGGCCTAACCCGCGGGACTGCAGAATGTGCCTTTATCTGGACATCAAGGTAAAAACGGGGTCCGAGGCTGAGCCCCGAGCGGATGTGGCTGGTGTCCTTTGCAAAGAAGAGAGTGGACGTGGACGTGCGCAGAGGAGGCCATGTGGAGACAGGGGTGGCGTCGCCCGCAAGCAGGGGGCAGAGCCTCAGGGAAAGCAGCCCTGGCCTGCACCTTCACCTCAGAGCTGCGCCTCGGGGCGGGAAGAGGCACCCCTGCTGTTTATCAAAGTGATAAACCCCGCCTGGGGTGAGCTGTAGCGCAGCCCTAGATGGGGCCTGGCTCTCCTCCACGCTTCCACAGGGAAGGCTCAAGGCCGCCTTCTTGTCCTTGCCTAAGCTTTGTCTTTGAAAAGGCAGTTTTAGGCCACATGATTCAAAGCAAAGACACACCGACAGTCAGGCCTCTTCTGGCCAAGCACCAAAAACCTGACAGCAGTATTACCTTAGGCAGTGTTTTTTGGAGCTTCGCCCGTTGCTTTTCTTCCTTCAGGAGATTTCCTCCACGGTTTGTAAATCTACTAGGATCTGATGCTTTTCTCTGTGAAAAATACATTTCCGTTAGAGTAGACTCTGGGAAAGCCAGACCAGTGACTTCTTCTCAGGTTCCCTGCTCTCAGAAAGATACCATTGTTGGGCCTCCCTGGTGGTGCAAGGTTAAGACGCAACCTATGAAGCTGTCCGCAGCCTCTGCAGCACGAGTTCAGTCCCCGGCCAGGGAGCTACCCACATGGCGCAGCAGACCTCTCCTGTCTCCCCGCTGCTCCCCTCAGCAGTGGATTCTAGTCGAGCTGCCTGTTCTGCTCCCCACTGTCTCAGGTGAGTCCTCTCACCGCCCCCCTGCCCCCGCACCCCAGTTCTTGTATGCATAAATCTTTCAAAAAACAACAAAAAGATACCATTGTCAAGGCGGCTGCGCACACCCCACAGCTCTCAGGGAGCGGTGGGGGCGCGCACCACCAGGTCACCACATGATCACCCCCCCCCGGGTGCAGGAAAACTACCGATTCCTAAAAAAGTAGGACAGGCTTTAATATGCACAGCGTCACCGGCTCTTTTCCTTGGGCAAAGGTTAGCTGACGGGGAAGCCTGCACCGTGCTCGGCAGCAGCCCTGGGCGCACTTCCGCCAGAGCCTAGGGCAGCGGAGCGGCACCCAAGTCGGGGCTTATGGATCCTCTGTCCTTCACTAGATGAACCCTCTCAAAATGGACGAGAATAAAATGTAAAACACTAGGCTTCTTAGTAACTTTCCCGGTTCTTCCTATTGCGCCTAGTACGTCAGAACAGCAGTGAGGTACGGACCCGGGAACTACAGGTCAGGCGTGAACTCTCAGAAGGAGGTGCTCGGCAGAGTTCACCGTCTCCACAGCCTAGAGGTCAAGCGTGAGAAAGCCACGCCCCAGATGGACTACGCCAGAGCAGGTAGGATTCACTTCTCTTCTCTGAAAAACGGGTGTGACCAGAGCTGCCTGTTCGGCTCTTACTGCCAGCAGCGCTGCCCCTCCACGCCGTGCTGTGGTCGCGGCAGCTCTGAGACCTCACGCTGTTCTCGCTACTCACTCTGGAGTCTTAGTTTCCTCCATAGACTGGAAGGACTTGAGTGAGGATTCCCTGAAGGGCCCTTCCAGCTGCGTCAGGATGGCATGAACCTGAGCGAATGTCTTTGGCATTCTTGGCCGAGGTCCCTGGCTGAGTCCACCCCCACCCTAGTCTGAGGGAACCCCGTGCCCAGACAATTCTCTGAGAAAATTGGGAAAATCAAAATGGTGGAATGTGCCAGATGTTTGCTGACATCCATTCTCCTCTCCCTCCCTGGCGCTGGCCTGTGGCCAAGCTAGGTCTTGCAGTTCTCCCTGCTTTGCTAGCATCGGGGCAGAGCTGCTGTGGCGAGCCTGGAGGGGCCCTCAGAGGATGCAGGCTCTTGTCTTCAAGGGGCTCTCTCCCCCATCTGGCCCTAAGCCACCCATATGCTGGGGGGGTGCGCTCTGGAGCCTCCCTGGACTTGGATGAGGTGGTGAAGAAGTGAGCTCAGCAGCCAGGAACTAGATAGAGTAGCCACAGCCATCTGCACCGCCCGCCTCTGGGCGTCCCTTATGCAAGAAACTTATTCAAGCTGTTGACTCTGGGGTTAGTGCTCCTACATACAAGGGTCACACACACGGGGGGTCAACAGTAACCTGACCTGATGAAATAGGGCCCCAGAACCCAGTAACGTGCAGAGGAAACCGGGCGCTGACTCTAGTTCTCCAGGTAATGATGGACAAGGCGGTACCTCAAACTCTAGGAAGAGCCTCCAGCTTTCTTCCCACTTCTGGACGCCTTCAAAGAGCTCTCTGTGCACCTCGTAGTAGTTTCTCAACTGCACGATCTCGGCATCGTGGAGCTGGAGGAGACTTTCAGTGTAGTCCTCTGCAAGGTATAAACAGGTATAAACGGGTGCGGCAGCGCCACAGCGCCACGGCAGCTTGACAGCGATGTGGGGTTTGCAAATCCACACAACAGATTTGGTGGTCGGTGAACGTGGACTGGCAAAGTCCGTGCTAACTTACATTCATACTCTTCACAGGCGTCCACGCTCGTCTCCGGGCCCTGCCACGGAAGGAAGGCTGCCCGGCCGTTCCTGGCTACACACGCGAGTCGGCACCCCCAGGCGGGAGCCGCAGTGCACGTTAGCACCTGCTGGCAGCGCTTAGCGGGCCATGCTGACTGTAAACTTGAGGCCCACTTGAGTGCAGGCTCCCAATGAGCAGATGCCAGACCGCGTGGTTTACCCCTGACTGCCCTCTCAGGACATGGGCTACACCTGCAGACGCCGAGTTTAAGCGCTTACATCAGCGCACCATTGCCAAAGCAGAGGCTCCCTCCGGAGAAGTACTAGTAGCCTTTAAAGTCAGGGAGTGAGAAGGGCCTCCCCAGTGGCCTAGCGGGTTAAGGCTCAGTGCCGCGGTGCTGCTACTGCTACGGCCTGAGTTCGATACCTGGCCCAGGGAGCCAACCCACGTAAGGTGCAGGGGGCCTCTCCTCTTGCCCACTGCTCCCGAGTGGTGTAATTCAGTCATGTTCGCTCTTCCTGTGTGTCGCCCCCTCCCCATGTCTGTCCACTCCCCCCTCCCTCGTCTGTCTAATTCCCTCCGCCCACCCCCTCCTCACCCCCAACATGAGGCCAGGTCTAATGAAACGTGTTGGGAACATCCGCTGAAAGAACAGAAAACAAGGGGAGCTCATCATATGTGGAAGCAAGAACTCACAGCTAAGGTGGAGGCGGAGCAGTGTTTGGTTTACATTAAATGTTTTCAGCTGATTAAAAATACACACAAACTATGCTTATAAAGCAGTAAGAATCTTTTGTTCATTTTTACCTCGTGATACACTTTATTCTCCTTTCTTTAAGTGCCCTCTTTAGCCAGAATCTCATGTACTAGCTTCATTTTTAGTGCTAACATTTAATCCAGATGCATTCCATATACTGGTGCTGATAAAACGGAATATAGCAGCTTCCAAATGGTGGGAACTAGCAAGGACGTTCCCTTCCTATCCTCTGTGCAGGGGATGGCATTAGCGAGTTCTAGGCAGAACTTTGGAGCTAACCCCTGGTCTGTTTCCACCAGTGTGCAGTCTCTTTATCTGCCTGGCAGTGAGAGTCAAGCCCTCTTGAAAAGGAAAAATAAACCCAGCGCTCTGATATTCCATAATTGCATTTCTGTACTTTTTGGCTCACATAATAAATGTTGGGATGTGTGTACACACCTAATTTTAGAAATTTCTCTAGTATCTTTACTTACTGATCCCTTTAGTAATGGGAAGATTTTTGGGGTCTCTCTGGTGGTAAGAGGGGTTAAGCACCACACTATGAAGCAATCTGCAGCCTCATGCAGCACGAGTTCGATCCTCGGCCGGACAGGGAGAAACCCACATGGTGCAGCAGACCTCTCCTGTCTCCTCGCTGCTCCCCTCAGCAGTGGATTTCAGTCAGTCTGCCTGTTCTGCATCCCAACCTGTCTCTGGTGAGTCCTCTCACCCCCCTGCATCTCTGGCCTGTACCACGGCTCTTGTATGCATAAATAAATAATGGGAAGATTTTTCTTCCTTGTAATAAAAATGACACATGAGACAGTATATACACATCTTGTGGATAATAAAAGCCAGGTTTGCTCCCGTTGATCTTGGGCACAAAGCTGATGAACATTCTCAAGTGCTCTCTTGCCTAAGTTTTCTTTCATATTCCTTCCCCCACCCTGTCAACAGAGGGCTGGGTCTTTGAAAATGTCCAGAAACAACATTTGTTGAACTTAGTAAAGACAGCCTCATCTTTATAGAAATTCGGGTTAGGTCAGCCAGGAACTGCACGGGGCTCTGAGGGCACCAGCTTGGGCTCTTGCACCTGCCTGCGGTGCTTCCGGGTTAAGCTGCTTGACACTCAAGTGCATTCGGCCCTCGTCTCTCGACACGAGGACTGGGTAAGCTGTTCCTGGAAGGGCTGGTCATTGCACCTGATGACTGGAGCTTCACTACATCCAGGGACACACTGCTTCAGAGATCGAGAGAGCTCTAATTTCCCAGTAGCACGTGCAAATGCTTATTTGTACAGTAAAGGCAACATGGGCTGAAAGCTCGAAAAGCTTCAGAAGTAGACACACTCCTGAACCTGCACACAGCAGGCCACGTGCGGACCACGTTGCTGTACTAACCATCATGATAGGGAGCGAAAGCTTCTCTCTGCTCCTGGCTGTAGAAACACCGGTCCCAGTACTGAGCCAGCTCCACTCGAATTGCCTCAATCACTTTCTTCATGTTTTGCATCTTCAGTTCTTCCAGCCGACCCACTTCCAATTGCAGCTGAAAGAAAGAAAGCAGCTGAGAGACCTGCGCTTCTGCGTTCACCTCGGTTTGCAGAAGCTTCCCCCGTTAAAATAAAAGTGCAGCGGGCTTTATGCCAGAGATAAATTGACCACCTTTGCAACCACATGATAACGAGCCACGAATGTCTGCAAGAGGCAGAAGGCCTGCCCCCCTTGCTGTGTCTATCTTGGAAACAAGTTTGCTCAAGGCAGAAGCTAGTCAGCACATTAGACCTGGCACGGGCACGCTCGGAGACTGCTGACCCAGCAGCACTTTTCAGGTTTCTTACCGCTTTCCTGACCTTGGCCTTTGAACCAGTCATAATGTTACCCATGGCCTCTCTCTCTTCTGTGGGTATCTGCAGCCTGTCCCAGAGCTCTCGGATCTGAGCACGCAGCCCCTCACACATCACTTCATTCTGTGATTTTCGCATTTCCAGCTGTAGCAAAGCAGAAATAGTAAAGACAGCAGCAGAGAAGGTAGCCCCCGGCCTCCCACAAAAAAAAAAAAAAAGGATCAGCTGCAGACCTTTACAAGGGTGTGAAGAGGTGTGTGGTTACGACTTAACACAAACTGTAAGCTGTCCTTACGGCAAGATACAAACCCTTCCAAATTACAATTGAAATTTTGAGTAAGATTCTCCAGTAAACATTAGCCAATTCAAGTGGCCAGTATCATTTCATCCAAAACTTCAATTTCACACTTTTAAGGACACATACAGTTTTCTTTTGTTTTGTTTGACATCACGGCTGTACTTAATGTCTTTATTCTCCCTCCTTCTCTTGGTTCCTCATTAAGACTGAACGGGTGACAATGCTTCCTCAGACTGCTGACTACTTGGGCAGCCCCAGACCATCATTTCAACAGACATTACCTGCCGCAGCAACTTCTGTAGCGTTGCAATGTTCTCCAAAGATAAACAAAAAGCATCTTCATCCTCACACACGACATCCCGTTCAAAGCTCGTGTCTGGGGTGTGATCTAATTCTTCCATACACAGTATGATTTGCTTCTTTATGCTGACAAACTCCTCACGCCGAGAAGCCTGAAAGACAGAAGGGTCACAGCACGCCCAGGATTCAAGCGGTTCTCGGGAGCGTGCCGCCAGCCAGCAGTGTACCTTGGTTTCCCGCAGGGCTTTCAAGTGCTGTCTGAACCGGCTCAGCTCTTCTAAGCTGGGCACCAAGGTGCTGTCGATGTCGTACTGGGGCATGCAAAGAATCTCACATAGTTCTTGATCTTGCTCTTGAAGCAGTTTCAGTTCTTGTTTTCTCTCCTTTTTCTGTTTTCGCATCAGTTCTACCTGAGTGCGCAAATCCTTCTCCAGCTGCAAGATGGTCGTCTCCCCTTCTTCCTGTACAAGACAGTGTTTCCTTGCTGTCAGGCTCAAGTGGATGTCTTCGACAGAAGAGAAGGGCAACGGAGCAGGACTCGGAGGACAGATTTTCAGTTAAACTTACAAATAAGTTAATTCACGACCAACAGAGTGTGGTACAAAGAGGGTCCCCTAATTAAGATCTTAAACAAGGAAAGGGACTTTTGCCAGAGGTGAAAACTGATGGGGCTAATGCACATGCTTGTCTTTAATAATGCGCAGATGTCACATCTCAGACTCCTGGAACATTATTTATTTATAAGATACCTAGAGTTTTGTGGGGTTTTTGCATAGAAGAGCTGGGGTGTAGAACAGGTGGATTTATTGAAATCCACTGCTGAGGGGAGCAGCCTGCGAGACAGGAGAGGTCTGCTGCGCCATGTGGGTCAGCTCCCTGGCTGAAGAAGGAACTCAGGCCACAGAGGTGACAGTGCTAAGACTTAACCCCTAGGCCACCAGGGAGGCCCCTTATAATTTTATTACTTCAATTAAAAAAAAAACTGGCTGGAAAGCTTGTTTTGACTCCTTGTTCTACTCTTGATAATTTGAAGAAGAGCAGTTACATGTCCTATGAAGTTATACAAATTTTCTCAACATCAGTGAACTAGAAACTATCATGTACTTTAAGGGAGCTGTACCTCTGTATACCTAACATCACACCCAACTTCACATTGAAAGTTACAAAAACAGGGCCTCCCCGGTGGCGCAGCGGTAGAGCGCTGGGTTGCGAAGCTGCCCGCGGCCTCTGCGGTGCCGGTTCAATCCCCGGCTGCTCCCCGGCCACCAGAGGAGGGTCCCACATGGCGCGCAGACCTCTCCTGCCGCCCGCTGCTCCCCTCAGCAGTGTACTTCGGTCCTTCTGCCTGCTCTGCCCCTCGCTCTGGCTCTGGTGAATTCTCTCACCCTCCCGCGCTTCTGACTGTACCCAGTGCATGTATAAACAAAAAACAAACAAGCAAACAAATAAATTAAAAAAAAAAAGAGAAAAAAAAAAAAACACATGCCTCTAAAAAAAAAAAAAGAAAGTTACAAAAACAGGGCCCTCCCTGGTGGCTCAGGGGTTAAGTCTCAGCACTATCACCCTATCACCACTGCAGCTGAGTTTGAATCCCCAGCCAGGGGGATGGCATAGCAGACCTCTCCTGTCTCCCTGCTGCTCCCCTCAGCAGTGGATTTCACTCAACCTGCCTGTTCTGTTCCCCACTGTCTCTGATGAGTCCTCTCACCCCCTGCACCTATGGTCTACACTCCAGTTCTTATATGCATAAATAAATCTTAAAAAAAAAAAAAAAAGGTTACAACAACAATAACCTGTTCAAAGTCAATGTTATTTCTGTTGAATTCCAGAAACTTCATTGATGTTACAATTGGCCCAGCTGCTCTTAGCTGCCAGTTGTGAGTTACTCTTATCCCTGCCAAGGCCATCTCCTGCCTGTGCTGACTCCACTAGACACCTAAGCAGTTCTTCCTGGAACAGGAGGGACCTGAGAACTATCCTTAGCTCTCTCACCATCATGTGCTGCCGTAATCACCTACGCAAACTTTACTCTTGTCTTCATCTATATGACCCAAATGCTGTCTTTATTGCCTTCTAGCCAGGCACATGTGTCCCTGCCAGCATCCTCCCTGGGTCCCTGACCCACAGCACACTGCTGCTCAGCGGGGTCTCGGGCAAGCATGGCATGCTGAGACTGACTGCTCTCCTGATACTCAGCTTTGGGGGATTTCACCACAAGTCGCAGTTCTGGCTGGTTCAGTGGTCTGCAGCTTCTGGGTATGGAAAAATCTACAAATGCAGGATTTGGGGATAACGTTCCCTGGTATAGTCAGACATTTTTGCTGCCTACATAGCTCTTTTCACTTCCCTTTAAAGAATATCACAGTACCGTCTCTGCCTGGCTTTTCCTCAGATTAAAATATTTTTGTATGCTCTACAAATTGACAGTAAGAGGAATCTTGTTTTCGATCAAAAATAAGCAACACTTATGAGCTGTCTCACCTCTCTGAGAGGCAACTCCTTACGTAGATTACAATAACCCTGTGGGACCTATTAACCAGGCAGCATGTTTCCCCACTTCTCATGCCCACTGCCCACAGACACCCCCTCTAGCTCAGCTCCCAGCGGGACCCCCAAGGCCCACAGCGCACCTGAAAGGGCTCCACGTGTAACTCGGTGCACAGGGTGCTCAGCTCTTTCTGACAAACAGAGATGCTCTTGATGAGCCTCTCCTTCAGGCTCTCCTCTTCAGCAATCATCATATCCAGGAGGTCCTATGAGAGAGATGGTTCTGAAGTTGTCGGGGCAGGGCAGCGGGGAGGGGAGCCTGAGGTTTGGGCAACAGTAACATTCTCGCTGGTATATGCTATCTCAGATGGTGCCAGCACCCTGCCCCAAGCCACTGCCAGGGCAGCTGGGCTGCGCTCACCTTGATGTGCTTCTTCACAACCTCGGTTCTCTGCAGCCGCTGGTCTTCGGGGATCCCAATTAGTTCCCATATTTCCCGCAGGTGCGTCAGGGCTTTCTGGAGGCACACTATGGACTCCTCTGCCAGCACCTCACTGAAACACAAGGAAAGAGACCCCGGAGTTCCACAAGCTCCTGACCAAGAGCAGAATTTACAGAAATGAAATAAACTAGACCTTGGTCGCCTCAAGGCTCAAACAAACTGAAAACAAGCATGCAGCTTAATTCACCTTTAACCACTCCCTTTTTCTTTTCCCCATAAACCACAACACTAGCAACCCTCTCACATGACATCACAGAAACTCAATCTTCTGAATAACATTCAGCATCTGGAATTGTATCAATGAGTCTACCCATGAGAGTATAAAAAGAAATGTAAATGACTTTTTAAAAGATTTATTTACGGGGCCTCCCCGGTGGCGCAGCGGTTGAGCGCTGGGTTGCGAAGCTGCCCGCGGCCTCTGCGACGCCGGTTCGATCCCCGGCTGCTTCCCGGCCACCGGAGGAGGGTCCCACATGGCGCGCAGACCTCCCCTGCCGCCCGCTGCTCCCCTCAGCAGTGTCCTTCGGTCCTTCTGCCTGCTCTCTCCCCGCTCTGGCTCTGGTGAATTCTCTCACCCTCCCACGCTTCTGACTGTACCCAGTGCTTGTATAAACAAACAAACAAATAAAGAAAGAAAACATGCCTCTATAAAAAAAAAAAAATTAAAAAAAAAAAAAAAAGATTTATTTACGGATGCATACAAGAACTAGGGTACAGGCCAGAGGTGCAGGGGGTGAGAGGATTCACCAGAGACAGAGTGGGGACCAGAACAGGCGGATCCACTGCTGAGGGGAGCAGCGGGGGGACAGGAGGGGTCTGCTGCGCCATGTGGGTCAGCTCTCTGGCTGGGGATTGAACTCGTGCTGCAGTGGCTGCGGACAGCCTCATAGTGCTGTGCCTTAACCCCTTGCATCACCAGGGAGGTCCAGAAATATAAATGAGTTTATTGAAGAAAAACAGGCAAAAATATCAGTAAAACAGACAGACAAGCATCAAATGTTGATGAGGATAAGAGTTTGGTGGTTTTAAAGCTCCTGGAAGGTGGCCAGCAATGGATCGCTGTGTTCTTGTTCCTAAATCACAACTATTCACTCAACAGGACGGCTTGACAAACACAAGCATCAAATGTTGAGGAGGACACAGAAAAGCACAACTTTCATCTACCACTTGTCTGGAGTGTGAACTGGTACCATTTTAAAAACCGCTGGCAGGGGAAGCACAAGGGACTACGGTGATGGTTCAGGGGTGATGTAGTGGTGGGAGATTTATGGGGACTACACCTGAGGGCTGAAATCAAATACTGTACAAAAATGAACAACAATGTCAGAAAAGTAAAAAACCAAACACCTGTTGGCAACAGCTACTAATGCCGGACCCAGGAGCTCCAGCTCCACACACGTATCCAGCAGAAACACACCCACGGCCACCAAGGAGACAGACAAAACCCCAGACTACTCATACAAAACGGACAATAACCCACTCCCTACGGGGGGGAAATACCCAGCATGGAGGAATCTCAGAATCACGGGCAGCTAAGCCCAGTGAAAGCTGTCAGAGTCCGAGGGTTACACACTGGTTCCATTTTATGCAATTCTAGAAAGGGCAGACGCATAGTGCTAGGGAGCAGACTCGCTGCCTGGGATCCGGACAGCCCCCCCACACCCCCAGAGGGCACAAGGATGGCACTAGGGACACGCCATCACACAGCTGCTCACGACGGCCCTGACTCAAACTCACGTGTACACTGAGCCCAGTTTCTGGTGTCTAAAGTACACCTCATGTCTAAAGGGGGGAGAGGTAAAAGAAACAAAGAAAGAATGGGGAAATGGGGAAGACAAGGAAAAAAAGAACCGGGGTGGCGAAGGCAGAGAAGCAAGGGTCTAGCGCACCACGCGATCCCCTGGACAACGCTCCCAAGCGGGCAAAACTCAGCTCTGCTTTCAGAGGCCACTGTCCTGGGCGGCGGTGACAGGCTGGGCCGGCTGGGCCCACAGGGGTGCTGACCGACAATCCACTGGGTTGGGGTTTCATCTGTCCGTATTTCTACACATAGGCCGTGTCTGTACTAGTCAGCGGCAGTGTAGCTAAAGCTTTAAAAAAACGGCAGCTCTCCTCCCTGCCCACCATGCGGCACGAGTTCGATCCTCGGCCGGGGAGCTACCCCATGGCGCAGCAGACCTCTCCTGTCTCCCCGCTGCTCCCCTCCGTAGTGGATTTCGGTCGTCTGCCTGTTCTAGTCCATGCTCTGGCTCTGGTGAATCCTCTCACCACCCCCCCTCCGCACCTCTGGCCTGTACCCCTGTTCTTGTCTGCATAAATAAATAAATCTTCTAAAAAAATTTAAAAATACAAGATCTAATCCAAGGTCAACATTCAATCAAAGCCCTAGGGTGAGGCAGCCAGAGCACTCAGCCATTGCCCAGAGCCTCTCTCAGTCTTGGAGGCCAGGCCCGCCCTAGCTGGTCTCCACCAGACAGCCAGGTTCTCAGGAGAACAAAATCCCAAGGCTCCAGGGCCCATCCTAAGCAGGAACCACAATCTGCCCTGAGGAACCACAATTCCACCACCAAGGAGGGTCCTCTAAACCGGCTGTCCGTAGTCTCCTAGTTCCTCCTGCCCCTCACTCCCTCAGACTCCAGCCAGCTGAACCTGCCCTCGCTCCCTGGACAGGGCCCCTTGCAGAACCAGGTGTAGCTCCGGTGCCACCCCTCACAGTTGCCTCCCACCTCGTCCCCATGTTCATTTCATCAGACCCTAATGCAACTGTTGTAAGTAAAATAAAATAATGGCCTTGAATTCCAGTCAACAGTTTACTACATGTCTAACATCCGGTTTCTGGGCCTAATCTGTCATCGCCCAGAAGGTAAAGTGATCTCTTTCCTGAACAATAAAAGAAGACTGGCGCTCCAGGCAAAGAATCTGAGTAGACATTTTTCCAAAGAAAACAAAAGAATAGCTCACAAGAACACGACCCAACAAAAAACAAAGTAAACAATCCAGTCAAGAAATGGGCAGGAGGGGCCTCCCCTGGTGGCACAGTGGTTGAGCGCTGGGTTGCGAGGCTGCCCGCAGCCTCTGCAGCGCCAGTTCGATCCCCGGCCGCTGGCAAGGATCCCACAAAAAAAAAAAAAAAAAAAAAAGAAATGGGCAGGAGGAGCCTCCCTGGTGGCACAAGGGGTTAAGATACAACCTGTGAAGCTGTCTGCAGTCTCTGCAGCATGAGTTTGATCCCTGGCCAGGGAGCTACCCACATGGCGCAGCAGACCTCTCCTGTCTCCCCGCTGCTCCCCTCAGCAGTGTCCTTCGGTCCTTCTGCCTGTTCTGCTCCCCGCTCTGGCTCTGGGGAATCCTCTCACCCTCCCGCGCTTCTGACTGTACCCAGTGCTTGTATAAATAAATGAATAATAAATAAATAAATAAATAAATCTTAAAAAAAAAAAAAAGAATGAACAATGATGTAAAAATTTTTTTAAAAATTAAAAATTTATAATAAAAAAAAGAAATGCTAAAAAAAAAGAATAGCTCACAAGAAATAGCTCAACATCATCAGCCATCAGGGAAGCCAGCTTGGCTACAATAAAAAAGACAGTAATAGGTGTTGACAAGAATGTGGAGAAACTGGAAATGTCCCATGGCTGGTGGGAATGTAAAATGGCACAGCCACTTAGGAAAACAGGCCGCAGTTCCTCAAAAGGTTACAGGGAACGACCCTGTGACTCCACAATTCCACTCCTAGGAATCTACCTGAGGGACATGAAAACATGTCCACAAACAGCAGCATCATTCTAACAGCTTGAAGTAGTAACAACCCAAATGGCCACCAAGCAACGCACAGCCAGTGTGAACACCTGCACACAGACGTCTCCCGGCAACCAGCCTTGCGAAGACCGCGCTGTGAAAGAAGCCACGTCACAGTCGTGACTCCATTTCCATGAAATACCCACAACAGGCGAATGCATAGAGATGGGAGCAGATCAGCAACGGCCCATGGCTGAGGTGGGGATACAGTGGAGGAAGCAGACCGGGTGACTGCTACGGGTGGCTTTGAAGGGATGATAAAAATGTTCTAAAATTGACTGCATATACTTTAGGTAGGTGGCGTAGATCATATGGGGATTATCTCAATGAAACTTATTTTTTTAAAAGATTTATTTATGATACAAGAACTGGGGCGTAGGTCAGAGGTGTAGGAGGTGAGAAGATTCCCCAGAGACAGAGTGGGGAGCAGAACAAGTGGATCTACTGAAACCCACTGCTGAGGGGAGCAGCGGGGAGACAGGAGAGGTCTGCCACGCCCTGTGGGTCACTCCCTGGCCGGGGATGGACTCAGGCTGCAGTGGCTGCCAACAGCTTGACAGCGCTGAGATTTAACCCCTGCGCCATCAGAGGCCCCTAAAACCGTTATTTAAAACATTGGGCATATAATCTGAAGTTTTTTTAAAAAACTCGTGATCTAACCGAAAAACAGTAAACTGTTTACTGCGTGTTTTTTCATAAAATAAAACAATTTGACCTTGCAACACAATTTACAGGCCTCAAATCCAATTAAAACCGAGACAAGCAGGGCACCCCTGTCCACAGCCTCTGCAGCGCGGGTCTGATCCTGGCCGGCGGGCGACGGTCCCACCTGGCGCGCAGACCCCTCCCGCCTCGCCCGCCGCTCCCCTCGGCGGTGTGTTTCCTCAGCCTGCCTGTTCTGCTCCCCGCGGTCTCTGGTGAGTCCTCACCATGCTGCACATCTGGGCTACACCCCGGTTCTTGTACAAATAAATCTCAAAAAAAACCGACAAACGCCTGCACAGCAACCTGCTGCCGACCTCCCTCCAGCGCAGCGCGGGCCAGAGACAGCAGCTCACGCGCAATGTGTGTCGTGAAGAGGCCGCCCATCCCCTGACGTGGACCGGCTCGTCCATCTTTCTTTGGCCTGCAGGAAAACGGGCGCCTGGGATGGCCCGGCGCTCTAGTGAAGAGACAGCTCTCACAAGAACACAAGTTTTCAAGTTAAACCAAAAAATTTTTTCACTTTCCACAACATTCAGATGGTGTGCGCGAGTCTCTCGCTCCGGCCCGTCCCTCTCACGCGCCTGCCACTAGCTCCCCCCCCCGCCCCGCCCGCCCGCCGCCAGCACCCGCCGGCCCGGGCCTCCGAGGCCCCCTGACGCGCCACGGCGGCCGCTCTCGCGGGGCCCCGGCGCTCCCCTCGGCCCAGACCGCACGCACCTCCCTGGCCCCAGCGCCCCAACCTCCTTCAGGTCTCGGGTCACAGGTCGCCTCAGAAGGGCCTCGTGAGCGGCACCTCCCGTTCCCCGCCGGGGCCGCCCTGACCCCCGGGCCCGGCGCGCCCACAGCTCGGACCCCTCAGCGCGACGGGCCTTACTGTTTCCTACCGTCTCGCTGCTCGGCGGGCGCGCAGGCCGCTGTCTGTCAGCCTCGCGGCGTCCGGCCCAGACGCCCCGGCCGCGGCGGGACCCCGCACGCCGGCCCCGCGCCCCTCGCCGCGACGCGCGCCCCGACCCCCGGCCCGCTCGAGGCTCGCCTCGGGGCCGCGCGCCCCAGGGGCCGCCCCGGCCGCGCCTCGCAGGCCGGCGCCCGCGGGTCACCCCAGGTCCCGCCGCCCCGAGCCTGGCTCTGCGCGGGGCCCCCGCCCCGGCCCCCCGACCCCGCCCGGGGCCCGGCCACCGCCCCCCGCGGGCCCTGAGCCCAGCCCCGGCCGCGGGCCGAGGCGCCGCGTCCCGGCGGGAGAGGCGCGGGGGCGCCGGCCTCCGCCGGGGAGCCCCGGAGCGGGCGGGGGGTGCGGCCGCCCCGGCCCCGGCCCCGGCCCGCCGCCCTCCCGCGGGCCCCGCCGCCCCGGCCCCGGCGCCCCCGCGCCCTCGGCCCGCACCTCCTCCTCATGGCGGCGCTCGGCGGCGGCGGCGCGGCCCGGGCTGCTGCGACTCGGCTGCTGCGACTCGGCTCCCGCCGCCGCCCGTCGCGCTGCGCGTCCCGCTCCGGAGCCGTTGGCCGCCGCGGAATTTCAAACCGAGCGCCGAGGCGGAGCGGCCCCGCGATTGGCGCCTCGCCCCGTCGCTCCGCGCGCGGCCCCGCCCCCGCCCCGCCCCGCCCGCCCCGCCCCCGGCGGCGGTCGCGGCTGCGCACTCGGGACAGGGCGCGCCGGCCCGAGGCGGGGGCGGCAGTCGGCGTCTGCGCGTGCGCGGCCCGGAGGCGGTGGCTGCCCCGCTCGCCACGGGCGGTTTGCGTTCGAAGCGCGCGGCGCGGGGGCCGCCGGGAAGGAGCCGCCCCGCGGGAGGCGCGCGGGGTGGGGGGAGGGGGGAGGGGAGGGGGGAGGGGGGACCCCGGCGACCCAGCGACCCCGGGGCGCGCCCCGCCCCCCCCCCCCCCCGCGCGGGTCCGCCCGGCGCCCTGAGGTGGTTTCCCAGCCCCGGCGCGGGTGGAGCCGCCCGCGGACTCGGGGCGTCGCCGGGGAGCTCGGCCGGCCCCGCCTGCGTGTCCCCCGCGGCCGCGTCTCCCGCCCCAGGGCGCCAACCTCAGCTCACGTTAGGTTGCCGGAGCGGTGTCTGTTGTGCTCGTCCAGTTCAAGAGCTTTTTTTTTTTTTTAAAGATTTATCTGTGTATTTATGCAGGGCCGGGGAGAGGCTGGCCCGCGCCCACCCCACGCGGGCTTGTGGGCCCCACCCCGCGCCAGGCCGAGCCCCGGGACGCTGGGGAAGACAAACCCGCCCGCCAGAGGGAGGGTGGCCGGGCCGGAGGGTGGGTCAGCCGCTGGGTTGGCAGAAAAACCAGACACGTGGGCCTCGGGGGGCCCCTCTCCTGCGCGCCTCGGGCTCCCCGGCTCCTGGCGGCAGCTCTCAGGTGCCGTCTGGGGTTCCTGATCCGCAGATCGGGTGGGAGGCATTTAAAACTTTGTCTCCCACTTTTCTCCCCGAGCTGTCCGTTTCCTCATCTCCCCTTCCCTGGTCAATAAACCTTTCATGAACCTCTCGCGTGCGCCTGCAGTGCAGCATTGGTAAGTCCTTTTAAGCGCGCGGGTGAGGACCCACAGCCAGGCCCCCCGTTTGTACCGGGGCTGCCTACAACAGTTTGGCGCCCAGCGTGGTTTCCAAGTTACGCCCGCGGTGGAGCAGCCCAAAGTAACATTCCTGGCTGGTCACCATAAGCGCACTAGTTCTGCAGGACTCGCAGTGTCATATTTGTCTCAAGTCCTGAAAAGTCTGTTTTTTCCCTGTGCGTACAGCCCTTGTGGGTGCGTTTTTGACTCAACTATGGCCGCAACCATGAGCCTATACAGTTTCATCCCTAGCCTGAGTTCTTTCAGTTTCCTTCCAGCCTTGAATTTGAGTAGCCTGCTTCCATTAAATATCACCGCCAGTTTCATTAATGTAAATAATTTGATGAAGCCTGGTGCATGGCACGTGATTTCACTATTGTGTCCATACATGGGTGGGTTACAAGCCATCCCTTTACAGTCCGTGCTTCTGGGTGTTTTTTGGTGATATGTGTAAGCGCCGTTTGCTACATTCTTGTTTCTGTGAGAGGCAGATGTTCTACTTCACATACTGAGAATGTGCAACTGTTAGGGGGAAAGGATGTCCTGAGCTAATCCCATACAGGCTTTGTGGACCCCACCCCCACTCCAGACTAAAGCCATCAAGACTCTGGGAAAGACAAATCCCATCACCGCCAAAGGGAAGGTGGCTGGGACCTGAGGGTGGAGTTGGGCAGCCAGGTTGGATATAAAAACCAAACACGTGGGCCTTGCTCGCTCTCTGGCTCGCGATCGCTCGCCTCCTGGCTTCACGGCTCCTGGCTGGCGGCCAACTCTGAGAGCGCCATTTTGGGATTCCTGATCGGCGGATTGGGTAGGACTCATTTAAAACTTTGTCTCCCACTTTTCTCCCCGAGCTGTACATTTCCTCATTTCCCCTTCCCTTGTAAATAAACCTTTTATTAACCTTTCGCGTGTGCCTGCAGTAGAGCATTGATAAGTCCTTTTAAGCGCGCGGGTGAGGACCCACAGCCAGGCACCCCGTTTGTATCGGGGTTGCTCTACAACACAACAACACATTCAGGCTCTTAACTTAGCCATGCAACAACAAATCCAGGCTTTTAACCTGGCCATACAACAACAACATCAGGCCTTTGATTTAACTATTAAGTGCATGAGGGATGAGAACCGTAGCATCTTTGAGTCAGTTTATAAAAGCATACAAGATCACGCTTTTAAAAGTATGCAGGACCGGCTAGAGGTCGCCCTCCATAAATTGGATATGGCAGAGGCTCAGCTGATGGCACAGAGAAAGGATAAACCTTCCCCTTCCCATGAGGACTGCCAGCGAGCAGAGTTAGAAGAGGAGGAGCATCATATTTTAAATACTTTAAATACATCAGGACAAAATCCTCTTCCATGTGACAAGGCCCCTCCCGTGCAGACCCCTGAGGCTGCACAGCCTCCACTGCCCTCTGGGGAGGACACTAAAATGGCGTCTCCTCCCCACACTAGACTCGGCACCCATTTTGGCAGGAAGGATCACCCTGAGGCAGGACAGTTTCCCCTTCGCCAGATGCCAATGGGTGGCTTGAATGAACATGGGAGATCTACTGGGTACTTCTGGTCGCACCATCCTTTCAGTGCTGCGGAACTCCTAACTTGGAGGAGCTCTGTTCCCCGTACCGGCAGGCTCCAAAGAGGATGGCGAACTTGTGTGCCTCTATCTTCGTCTCCCACCGCCCTAACTGGGCAGATATACAGTCCAGGCTGCATACTTTATTAACGCTGGATGAGCAGAGGATGGTATTCAGGAAAGCCAGGGAGGAGGCTGACCCTCTCCACCAACAGGATAGGCAGTCCCCAGAGCCGGAGGTGGTTGTCCCAGAGGGAGATCCTGGATGGGACCCTAACAATGGAGGAACGGCGATGTGGGAGCTGTATAAAAAATGTTTATTGGTAGGACTGCAGCAGGGGATCCCCAAACAAAAAAACTTTAACAAAATACTGCAACTCGAGCAAGGAGCTAATGAGGATCCGTCAGAGTTCCTTGAGAGGATTATTCAAACTTACACTAACCACACGGACATAAACCCAGATGCCCCAGAAAATGCTCGTCTGATCACTACGGCTTTCATTACCCACAGTGTCCCAGACATAAAGAAAAAGTTAGCTAAGGTGGACGGCGTCACTGAGATGAGTCCGTCCCAGGTAGTGGACCTGGCATTCAGGGTGTATAATAATAGAGAGCACAGGAGACCGAAACCTGCGACTGCTTTCTTACAAAGAGAGCACAGGACAGGGTTTCAGGGAAACAGTAATGGACAGAGACGTGAACCCCTAGGAAGAAATCAGTGTGCTTTCTGTAGGGAAGAGGGACATTGGAAGTAAGTTGTCCCAGGTTACAGGGAAGTGGCAGATGCAATAATTACAGAAGGCAGCATAGAAGACAGAGAACCCTAAGATATGATGATTCACGTAGGGGTTATAGGAGGGAAGATAGAAGGAGCACACAGAACCAGGAACCAAGGAGAGAGGAAAGAAGACAGATGTTAGCACAGAGTAGAGGCTCAGATGATGACAGGGAATACAGACAGAGAAGGAATCGAGAGCCCAGCACAGAGGACAGGAGACAAGTAATAGCACAGAGTAGAGCCTCAGGTGAAGATAGGAGGGAATACAGACAGAGTAGAAGGAATCTAGAGCCAAGTGCAGAGGAGAGGAGACAAATGATAGTTCATGGAGAAGGTTCAGATGGAGAATAGGGGTGCCCGGGGGCTCCACTAGATCTAGAGAAGCCCATTAGAATAACCCCCTCAGAGCCCCGGGTAACCCTCGCTGTGGGGGATCGTCTGATTGATTTCTTGGTGGACACTGGAGCGACATACTCAGTTTTGAATTCAAAATTAACTAAAATGAGCAAAGAGACTGCAGCAGTCACTGGGATTACGAGAAGGCCACAACAGAAAGCCTTCCTGCAACCTTTGGAGTGCCGGCCGGGCACCACACAGCTCCAGCTCAGCTTCCTGTACATGGAAGAGTGTCCAATCCCTCTACCTGGTCGCGACCTTTTAAGTAAGCTCAACGCACGAATTATATTCTCACCAAAACATCAGAGGCTTCACCTACAGGTGCCTCCAGAGCATGCTCTGCTGTTCCAGATGTTGCTTACTCAAGATGCTCCACCGAAAGGTGAAATTTTACCTCCAGAAATTGTTGAAAGAGTAAGGAAATGGGTTTGGGCTGATGGAACCCCAGGACGTACGAAAAATGCAGAGCCTGTAAAGATAGAAGTGATAGAGGGGAGCAGAACCCTGAGGAGGAAGCAATACCCCTCAAAGGAGGAGGTCTTGAGGGGAATGGAGCCAGTATTGAAAAGGTTCCTTCAATGTGGACTCATTCGGCCCTGTCGCTCACCGTATAACACTCCGATTCTGCCAGTGAAGAAACCCCAGACAGGCGAGTACCGTTTCGTCCAAGATTTAAGGGCCATGAATGACATTGTTGGGGATTTACATCCCACCGTGCCTAATCCCTACACCCTATTAACTGCCATACCTGGTGACTTTGGGTGGTTTTCGGTATTAGACCTGAAGGATGCCTTTTTCTGTATCCCAATAGATGTCCAGGACCAACCGCTTTTTGCCTTCGAGTGGCAAGACCCTAAGTGCAGAGCACTCTCCAGTATTGCTGGACTGTGCTTCCACAGGGCTGTAAGAACTCCCCAACTATTTTTGGGGAAATACTGGCCAGGGATCTCAGGAAGGTTCAATTAAACCAGGGCGTCTTGTTGCAATACGTAGATGATTTATTGATTGCAAGTCCAGCTACAAATCTTGTCTGGAAAATACCATAGTGGTACTGAACCACCTGGCAGAATGTGGCTATAAGGTGTCACCTCAAAAGGCACAGATCTGTAAACAAACGGTGACGTATTTGGGGTGTGAAATCAAGAAAGGC